TGTATTGAGGACCGTATTTGTGTTTTGGATGGTGTCTGTGTGTTGGAGACGTTGTCTGAGTGTCTGTTGGCGACAGTGTCTGTGTATGTGTGTGTGTGTTGGGATGGTGTCTGTGTGTGTTGGCGACAGTGTCTGTGTGTGTGTTGGGGACAGTGTCTGTGTATGTGTGTGTGTGTTGGGGATGGTGTCTGTGTGAGTTGGGGATGGCGTCTGTGGGTGTGGGGGTGGGGACAGTATCTGTGTATCTGTGTGAGTGTGGGTGACGGTGTCTTTGTGTGAGTTGGGGATGGTCTGTGTGTGTGCTGGGGACAGTGTCTGTGTGTATGTTGGGGACGGTGTCTGTGTGTGTGTTGGGGACGCTGTCTGTGTGTGTGTTGGGGACGCTGTCTGTGTGTATGTTGGGGACGGTGTCTGTGTGAGTGTGTGTGTTGGGGACGGTGTCTGTGTGTGTGCTGGGGACAGTGTCTGTGTGTATGTTGGGGACGGTGTCTGTGTGTGTGTTGGGGACGCTGTCTGTGTGTGTGTTGGGGACGCTGTCTGTGTGTATGTTGGGGATGGTGTCTGTGTGAGTGTGTTTGGGGGAACAGTGTCTGTGTATCTGTGTGTGTGGGGGGAACAGTGTCTGTGTATCTGGGTGTGTGTGGGGAGGGGGGATGGTGTCTGTCTGTTGGGGACGGTGTCTGTGTGTGTTGGGGACAGTTTATGTGTGTGTGTTGGAGGGGCTTCGGTGTCTGTGGTGGGGTGGATGTCCCAAGGCGCTGGACTGTCAGGAAATTGGACCCAACCTGGGGGTTGGGATCAGGACAGATGGAGGGAAGGCAGGGTAGGGATAGGAGAGTGGCCAAAGGTGTGGTCAAAGAAGAGGGTCTTTAGACGAAGGAGACATAGGAGGGTGTGAGGTGGGGTGGAATTCCAAAGGGTGGGGGTCGAGAGGCTGAAGGTCTGAATGCTGAAGGTGGGGTGGGCCGGGCGTGGGATATAGACCGGTCCTGAGCGAAGAGAGTGGACAGGGTGGTATGGGATTAGCAGGTCACAGTAGTGAGGAACAGGGCCATGGAGTGCTTTGAAGGCAATGGGGAGGATTTTTAACTCTATCTCTGGGGGTTGGCAAGCCAGTCGAGCTGGGCGAGGGTGAGGGTGATGATCATGGAGCCCGGTGTGGTAGAGGACACAAGCTGCAGAGTTCTGAATAATCTGCAGTTTGTGGAGGAAAAGTTGGGATGACGGATAAGCAAGGAGTTAGCCTAGTCGAGCCTGGATGTGATAGCCTGGATGGGAATGGTGTCTGTGTTGGTGTGTGTGTGTGTTCATTGTATCAGCCAGGATTGTGTCATGTTCACTGTTAGTACCAGATTATAACCAGTTATATTTTTTACCACTTATTTACCAGATGCAGATGTTGATAGAGCATCCTGGTATGTACATATGTTAAACTGTGGGTTAATAACAAAGCCATCTATCCTACTCCTCTGCTCTTTCACTGTATCCTCTAATATTTGTTCTTCATATGTTCCTATTGAATTCTCTTTCAAAATACCACAATCAATGCTGCTTCAACAGACACTGCTGGAAATTCATTCCATGTTCTGAGAATCCTTTTCCTAACTTTCCTAACTTCACTTTATCTTTTGTCCAACTCTGTCTGATTGTTGTTTCTTGTTCTATTGCCTCTCATCATCCAGTCAATACCACCCCCCCAGCCCTGGTGTGGGATTCAGACCCCAGACATCACCCTCTGGTCAGGCCTTGAATACTGCAGACAGCTCTGATCACTGTGACATAAAGGGACTGCCAGACACTAGAGACAGTGCAGAGGAGAGCAATGTGGCTGATCCCCAGTGTTAGAGGAATGAGCTGTGAGCAATAACTAGACAAGCTCAAGCTCTGCAGTCTTGAGAGAAGACAACTCAGGGGGGAACTCATAGAGGTTTGTAACATTTTAAATGGGATTGAAAAGGTAAACCCAGATCAATACTTTAGGACACATCAAGACAATATAATAAGAAGGTTAGAGATGTAAAGGCAACTTCAGGACAGACAGCAGGATTTTTTCTTTCCCAAGAGGTTAATTGATGACTGGAACAGAGTGGCCAGGAAGGGTGGTTGATGCTAGGACATTGGACTAATTTAAAAAGCAGCTTGATGCTGTGATGGAGGGATAGGGTAGGTGTTTTGGAGGGATGAGATCAGATGGACCAAAGGTCTTTCTTCATCCAAACCCACCTTGTGATCTCATAACATTCAGAGTTCAGGAAGCCACAATAGTTTCCATCTCCTCAGCCACTTTGGTTTTGGTTCAATCACATGTGTGACACATGGAGATACCCATCACCGTGCTTAAGAGTAACAAAACCAAGCTGAGATTTCCATGCACCCACCTACACATGGAAATGCCAGAGAAAGATTCCTAATTCTGGGAAGTATTAGGTGATGGTGGGCAAGACACTTGGGGACCCCAAAGTGTGCTGGAGTTTAACCAGCATAATACTGTCTGGCAAGCTTTCCTGCTGCTTGTCCAGCAAAGATCACTCTACCTGTTAGGCCTTTCGCTTACATGGCTGAGTGCGAGGATTCCCTGTCCCCAGTGACTGATCGTCCCTTGCAAAATACTATCAAATCATTTCAGCAGGAATCATATTGTCACTGCAATAAAGATGGCAATAAAATTAACAGTGTAAACAACACTCTGTGATTGAGAAAATAACAATACTTTCAGGTATCTCAAGGCAACAGGACAAGATGATAGGACAGTGTCAGGGTGTGAAGGGCATGTTCAGGACAGACACCAACAAGTATCTTACAAGGAGGGGGAATAATGACTAGAATCAATTATCAGGAAGGTGGTTGAGGCCAGGATATTGGACTCATTTAAGAAATAGCTTGTTGCTGTGATAGGGAAATGTTTGGGTAGGTTTTCAGGAAAGATGAGATGAACATGTCATTGTCCCATCTTGTGCTTTTCTACTTTGTGATAAGCTAGGTGGACTGGATGGTCTTTTCTGGCTCTGTTCATGTCTTTCTCTGACCAGTTTGGGAAGTGAACCTCTATCCTGGGCAGTTTCCCTCCTCTGTTAGCACAAAGCCCTCCGTGACCTTGCCCCACCCTACCTCTGTGACCTCCTTACACCCTAGCAACCCGCCTGCTCCCTCCTCTCAGCCGGCTCTGGCCTGCTCCACATTCCCCTGACCCACCCGCCCCACCAATGGCGGGAGAACCTTCAGCCACTCTGCCCCCAATCTCTGGAATTCCATCCTCCAATCACTCTGCCTCGCCCCCTCCTTAGCCTCCTTCAAGTCCTGCCTCAAAGCCCTCCTCTTCAACCATGCCATCGGCCACCCCCCTTTCCCTCCCCTCCCTTCCCCCTCCTGACCCCAGTTTGGGTCTGAAATGCTGTACACTGTCCAGTGCCTTTGGAAGTCCTCCCGACATGAAAGGCACTATACAAATTTAATCTTCTTGTTGTTGAAGCTTGTTGGGTTCTGAGCAATGAGCAGAATCAGACCAGATTATTTTTTATAGCCTCTCTTTAAATAAGGACCCAAGAACTGAGCAACCAATGACACTCAGCAACTCATGCTTTAAAAATTCTTTACTTAATATGAAATGCAAAGTTTGTTAGTTCAAATATCACAATACAACAGAGGTGTCAATAGCGTAGACACATGTCCATATTAAAGTCAATTGGTTAATTCACAAACAACAGGCAGAAGTCAAACAACAGGCATCGGATGAAAAGTCTCTTGCTTCAGACCAGAAACCTCCTGCTTGGGTTTATTGATCAAGAAGTCAAAGTTGATGATGGACAGCTGAGCCGTGCACTTTATTCAACAGTAGTTATATATTGTCCATCTTCTCTTCCCGTTACCTTTAAAACAATTTCAGACGTTCTGGAATTTCTGCAGTTTTCCTTCTTCCTGAAATTGTTGGAATTAACGAAAGTTGATGAAATGATGGAATAGTTTAAATCTGGTGCATTTTAAACTCGAAGACAGTACATTGGCTTCACCACTTCATATCATCACATGAAAGATGGCTTTTTATGTGGAGAGCACCTGATATGTTATGTCTTAGGTTGAACAAAGTGTAGTTTGGCCATACACCTTTAATGATCAATTTTCTATAGGCAGGATAAGAATAAACAATCTTTCCTTTCTTACATCCATGAAGCAATTGTCTCACATAAAAGGAATAACAGAATACAATCAGTACAATTGTTATTTGTTATTGAACACTTTAACACGACACTGATTAAACATGAATCTGTTATGGGAAAACCTCTTCAACTACCTCATCGTTAACACAACACTAATTAAAAGATGAATTTGTTATGGAAAAACATCTTCAACAATCATAAACAAGTCATCTTGACATTTTTCTAGTTACATCATCACTTTTAACCATTAATCAAGATAATTCTTTTGACTACATAGGTTAACATATATTCACAATTTCAGTTATGAAGCGAGATCACAACAAGCTCACACTGTCAGTCAGGTTCCAAACCACTTCCCTATTGGTCAGATCCTGGGTCTTGCCCTGTGCCCCTCCACTCTGCCCAGTGCCTCCTTCATTCCCTGCTCTGTGCCCCCTCCATTCCCCGCTCTGTACCCCCTCCGTTCCCTGCTCTGTGCCTCCTCCATCCCCCGCTTCTACCCTGCTTTCAGGCAATGCATTCCATACCCGAACAACTCGTTGTGTGAAAAAAATTATCCTCAAATCCTCTCTGGTTCTTTTGACAACTATTTTAAATCTGTGACCTCTGGTTACTGACCCACCTGCCAGTGGAAATAGTTTCTCCCTGTTCACTCTATTGAATCCCCTCATAATGTTAACCTTTATTAAATCTCCTCTTAAATTTATCTGCTCCAAGGAGATTAATTCGAGTTTCTTTAGCCAATCCCAGTTTTTCTAGCAAGATCAGGCCATGTTTCAGGCCAATGATGTGTGAACGCTCCTGACATATAATTGTATTTATAGCAGGAATAATAAAGCTGAGGACTTACAATGTTTTTCAAAGAAGTTTCCTGACTGGAAAGAACGGATGGATCAACACGTGACATTACTCCAAGAGATCGCAAATAATATTGACGAGTGTCACAAAGGTGCCACCATTGCCAATATTACAGGGTCTTCTGTAGGTGTTGTTGGAGGGGCTCTAACGATTGGAGGATTAATTGCTGCCCCTTTCACATTGGGTACATCATTGGGTACTCACGGGTGTGGGAGTTGGGGTGGGTGTAGCTGGTGGTGTCACTAACATCGCAGCTAATGCAGTAGATTCTGTTTCACAATCGAATAAACAAAAAAGAGTTAATGAAATCATGGAAGAGTATAAAAGGGACAGTGAGGAAATGGCAGATTGCTTCAGTAAATTCTGCAATGCAGTTCATTTCTATGAGAATTGCAGTGACGAATTAGTAAAAGATGCTTTCATTGGTGTGACTGAGGTCTTTTCAAAAAGCACAGGTGTTATTGCTACAGTGGCTGCAGCAATGTCCAAACAGTCCTTAAGAACATTCAAGGCGGTTTCTGGCGTTCTGTCAGGACTCTTTGTTGTGTGGGATATCTACTCTATCACAGTGGATTCCATTGACCTTAGCAAAGGAGCTGAGACAGAAATGGCTAAACAAATACGAGCTGTGGCTCAAAAGATAAAGGATGAGGTAAAGAAGTATGAAGAGGTTTATGAAACTTTAAGTCAAACTGTAAAGCAAAACTAGCCCAATGTGCAGGACTCGTGGCTAACTTTGACTTCAGTGCCTGTCACAAACCCCATTTGGGCAGATTGTTAGTAGATTGCATTCTTGTTGTTTATGAACCTGTCCATTTTTCAACAATATATTAAATTGGTTACTCTTTCTGTGATCTATTTCATGTATTTATTTCTGATTCTATTGATTGTTCAGTCTAACCTATTGGTTTCCCTATGTCCTGCATGTAGTGTGTGTAAGCTTGGCTCAGTTGGTAACACTATCTGAATCAGAAGGCTGTGGGTTCAAGTCCCGCATCAGGACTTGGAACTCAACAACAACAACAACTTGCGTTTATATAGTGCCCCTTCACACAGGGGATCCCAGAGCGCTTGACAATGGGGGAGCACATTGCCGAGCCGGGGAGAGGGGGAGGTGACCATAGGCATAGTCGAAGAGGAAGGTCTTCAGGGGCAATCTGAAGATGGGGAAGGAAGGGGCAAGGTGGAGGGATAGAAGAAGTGTGTTCCAGAGTTTTGTGGCATAGTGGCTGAAATCCCAGCCACCGATGATGGAAATGAGGGCACAAGGGACATGCAGAAGGTTGGAACCAGTCGAGCGGAGGCAGTGGTTAGTGGGTTGGCGAGTAAGCAGCTCGGAGAGTAAGCAGGTCAGAGAGGTTGGGAGGTGCCATATACTCCTACACTGTAGTCTGCCCTGCACTGCAATATATCGACAGGCTGCCTCTCCTGTGCTAATGGATCTTGTGATACTCTGATTCCCAAATCCATGGTACCAGCTCTCTCCACAACCTGTCACACTCCTCTATACTGAGGGACAATTCCACAGGCATCTCCTTTACCTCAGCCTGAGCTCCCATTCATATATGACCCAGAGAGTGAGGGGCAGGAGATCCCACCACCCCGGTCTAACACGCTCTAACACACGCTCTTCTTGGTTAGGTGACAGAATCATATGTCAGCCTGGTTTATGATAGTAATCTTGGCTATGAGTCAGAAAGTTGTGGGTTCAAGCCCTTGGGTCGGTGATTTGGAACTCACATAGTCTAGGCCGCAGGGCCAGCCTTTTGGCTGCCGAGGGCCGGATGCCCTATTTGAGAAATGTCCATGGGCCACATAAGCAATATTTTCGTGTCTCCCTTCCAGAAATATAATATTTACACAGCGTCTTTTTCACATAGGAAGGACATCTCAAAGGGTTCGACACTGCCAGTTGAGCACCTGAGCTGGGGATGGGAGCTGAGGGAGGTGGGATGGTGAGACAAAAAGATAACTGAAAGCGTAGGTGGGGGCAAAATGGTGATGTGTGGGGACACGAAGCAAGCCAGTGTTTGCTGGGGAAAGGGAATGGTCACTTGGGAGGTCACAGAGGGAGGCAGGGCGGGGGGATGAAGAACGTAGAGGAGTTTCTCACTGGGGAAACAGGGAGCTTTCTGTGATGAAACTGCACAGCCTGTACCTCAGTGTCCCCCCGGTTACCTGCCCCCCCACCCACAACGGTCGAGGGAGGCTCTAGTAATCCAGCCTGACAATGAATAACAAAACACTTCTCTCCTCTCTCTCTGCTCTCTCACTCTCTCTCACATGCTCTCTCCCTCTTTTAATCACTCTCGCTCTTCCCTCTCTCTCATGAATTCTCTCACACACACTCTCTCTCAATTACTCTCTCTCACTCCCTCTCACACCCTTTCTCCCACACATTCCCTGTCACCCCTTCTCCCCCCTCTCTACCTCTCTTAATTACCTTTCTCAGTCCCTCTCTGTGCTGCACTTACACTCTCTCCCGCGCTCTCTGTAATCTCTCACACATTCTCTGTTTCTTTCCCCCGTCAATCAATCAATCTCTCCCTTACTCTCTTTCACTCACAATCACTCTCTCTCTCTTGCCCTCTCTCTCACTCACTCTCTTACTCCCCTTCTCTCACATCTCACTCAGACTCTCATACACAATCTCCCTCTCTCAATCTATCTCACACTTCCCCCCCGCTCCCGCTTCTCTGAATCAGCTGTGCAGGTCACTATCTGCAATGGCAGGAGGCAATGGCTGGTAAGGATGCGGTGGGGTCCAGCATACAACAACAACAACTTTATATAGCGCCCATCACTTGGGGTAGTGTCCCAAAACACTTGACATTGGTGGAGTCTGACACCAAACCAGGGGGAGAGGGCAGTGGGTGGGGGTGAAGGGGGGTTTGGAGGTGACCATAAACATGATCAAGAAGGAAGATCTTTCGGTGGGATTTGAAAATGGTGAGGAAGGGGACAAGGCGGAGGGATTGAGGGAGAACGTTTCAGAGATTCAGGGCGTAGTGGCTGAAGGCACGGCTACTGATGGTGCAGCAGAAGGGGACAAGGAATGAAAAGGAGGCTGGAGACAGCCGAGCAGTGGTGGAGTGGGGGGTTAGCAAATCAAATAGGTAGGGAGGAGGGGAAGAGCATGCAGGGATTTGAAAACAAATGAGAGGATTTTAAAATCGATTTATTCGGTAATTGGGAGCCAGTGGAGCCTGTTGAGGACTGGCGTGATGGTGTTCAGTGTGTGTGATAGGGAGCCAGTGGAACCTGGCACAGACTGGTGTGATGGGGGTACGGAGTTTCATGCAGGTGTTCCCTCCTTGTTCCCTCCTATCTCTGCGACCTCCTAACCCCCTACCATCCTGCCCGCTCCCTCCGCTTCACATCCCCCTGCCTCGCCAATGCTGTACCATTGGGTGGGCGGGTCCTCAGCCACACTGTCCACACCCTCTGGAACTCCATCCTGCAGTCACTCTGCCTCGCCCCCTCTCTTGTCTCCTTCAAGACCCATCTCAAGATCCTCCTCTTCGACTGTGCTTTCAATCACCCAGCCTCTCCCCCTACCCAGCACCCTCCCCAGTCCTGACCCCCAGCTCGGATCCGAAACACTGATCGATCATCCAGCACCTTGGGAAGTCCTCCCAATGTGAAAGATGCTGTACAAATGTAATTCTGTTGTTGTTGTTGATAGAAACATTAACAACAACAACAAATTACACTTGTATAGCGCCCTTCACTTCGGAAAGACGTCCCAGGGCATGCTTCAGTCAACTTTCCAACTTTAGGTGGTCCTAAAATTTCTCCTACCCTCCCCATTTTCTTGTTTACAATGTTAAATTGATGCCCTATAGTTTACTGACAGAAGAAATAAAGTCTCCCTATTGACTCTATCAAAATCCCTCATAATTTTAAAGTTCTTTGTCAAGCCACACCTCAACCTGCTTTGTTCCATTGGATAAAAGTCTCACTACCTACAGTCTCCACTCATTGACCAAACCTCTCATCCCTGATATCATCCCAGTAAATCTCCTCTATTGCCTTGACGTCTTTCCTGAAGTGGGGTGGCTAATACTGGATGCAATATTCTAACTGTGATTAGAAGTTTAGCATTAATTTTTGCTGTTATATTCTGTATAAAATATATATTCTCTGGACATGTCCTTATAAAACAATACACTGGCACAGTGTTAGCTGTTGTTGGGTTCAAAGGAATAGCCAGCAATGGAACAAACTGCTCTTTATTAACCAGGCTATCGGCAAGCAAAGGAACAGATCATTGTGTATTAGCCTGTCAACAGTTGCGATCAGCAGTGGAAACAACCATTCTATTCGCTAAAGTATGGAGTCAGGAACTGAAGTTGTTGGCTTAACAGTTCATTTATTTCTGAGGCAAAGTTTTGCATGAATCAACCATCAGGGTGCAATAGCAGTATTATACTCATGTACAGTAAATCACCGTAGTGACAGTATCAAAGTTCATAGGCAGCCGACAAGGAGTCTCTTGGTATTGGGGACGCTGATGATCAATCTTTTGCAACTTGTGTTCTTGTGTCGTCGACGTCTGTTCTTCTTTCCTCTTCTGATGTTACTTGAATCTCGGAAACCTGGGCTGGGAGTTCTCCCTCCTGGCTGAGTGAACGGTACACACTCGCACACTGAAGTGCAGCTCATCTACACACTTGCTCATATCCTGGTTATCTGCCCCAGTTATCAGCTTGTTTCACCCAGCTGGTTATATTAATCACATCAGCTTTGGCTGATTATCACAATGTGCATAACAGTAATTAACAGCAGATGACGACTCCAATAACAGATTCTTTCTTAGCCAATTAACTCTTCATAATCCATTACATGCCGCAGTCCCTCTGCCTTGTCCCCTCTCTTGCCTCGTTCAAGATCCATCTCAAGACCCTCCTCTTCAACCGTGCTTTCGATCACCCTCCTTCTTCCCCTACCCTCCACCCTCCCAATCCTAAACCCCAGCCCGGGTCCGAAAAATTGATAGTCGAGCGCCTGGGGACGTCCTCCATGAGGATCACACTGACAGTGAGCTGGGTACAGTGTAACATTGATGTCTATAAGGATTACATTTGCATTAAACTGGGCACAATCTAGATTTGATCTTGTCAGGATTACACTGGTAGAACCTGAAACAGTTTTTCAGTGATTAATAATAATTGCTGGTATTTGATATAGCGCCCTGCACATATTCAAGATGTCAGAGTGATTTACAGGATTGTAATGTGTACAGGGTTGTAAAGTGTAACAGCTGTATTTATTTGAGAACATATTGAAATTAAATTGACTCCTAAAATGAATCTTATTCCCACAAAGCAATTGGACCCAATTAACTGAACCGAAAAGCAAACTGCATCTAAAGTACCTGATCTCACTATTTAAACATTATTTCAGTAAACATGACCCTCAATCAATGTTCTCGTTCTATGCTCACACCCTTGAGTTTCTGCTGTATATGATGTCCTGCTCCAGCTCAGTACATGACCTAACCCTTAAGCACGCAGCTCTGTTTTCACGACCCTCAGTGTTGCAGATTGAAAGTCAGTAGGAAAAGGACATGTGAGCATCAAATGGAGGTAGGAGTGAACAGGACAACTCGGGCAGGCTGAGCGTACAACAACAACGACATGATTGCATTTATAGAGCGCCTTTCACGTCGGGTACGTATTCAAATCCATTCACTCCCTGGCACCTCCCTACCTCTCTGACCTCCTCACTCCCCAATCCACCACCCGGCGCCTCCGCTCAACTCATCACTCACACCCTTCCCCCCACCATCGGAGGTCGTGCTTTCAGCCACTACGCCCCAAAACTCTGGAACACTCACCCTCAATCCCTCTGCCTTGCCTCCTCTCTCCCCTCTTTCAAATCCCACCTGAAAACTTTCCTCTTCGACCACCTCCCCCACCCAGCTCGGAGTCAGGCTCTGCCATTGTTAAGCGCTCTGGGACGCTACTCTGAATGGAGGGCGCTATACAAGTGCAAGTGATTGTTGTTGAAAAGATGCTGATGTTGAGCCACATATTTTTATATTTTATAAAGATTTTCAAATATTTTGCATCGTCATTTTTAAAATGTTATAATTCCGCCCAAATAGTGTAATTTGTGAGGATCCTACAGAGATTTCAAGGCCACGTTGAAGGTTATGTTTTCACATCTTTCTTCACCTTCGATTGTGTGTCGCAGACCTTGTTCATCTCTGTAGGTTTCACCCCATATTATTCATTTGATTTGTTCTTGAAAGTTTAGCAGCTTTTCAAGGCGAAGACCCTGGGTCTGTAGAGGGGGAGGGACAGAGGAAACATCTCCCTCTACAGAGGCAGTGTCCTATCATTAACAAGGCCGCCCAGGCCTGTACAGAGGGACATGGTTCCTCTGTCCCTCCCCCTGGGCCACCTGATTGATTCACTTTCCTGTCGCACTGTAATTTTACTAGGATGTCATAATTTATAAGGATGTTCCCAGGGATGAGTGGATATGACTATCAGGAAAGACTAGACAGTTTGAAACTTTTCTCTCTCGAGTTGAGATGATTGAGAGTGAAGCTAATGGAGGTGTTTTAGTTTATTAAATTAGTTGATGAGTTAGATGTTGATGTTTTACGTGTTAGTGAGTCCAAAACTACAGGAAATACATCTAAAATAGTCAGCAGGAGATGTTAAACAAAGTTTAGGGGGATTTCTTCACACAGAGGATGGTGAGAATGTCAAACTCACTGCGGAAGCTATGGTTGCAGCAGAAAGCACCAATCTATTCAAGAGAAAACTTGATTCATACATAGTAGAGAAAGGAATAGGGGTACAGAAGAGAGGAAAGGGACAGGCGGGCTCATGTACTTCACTCTTACGCTCAAACATTCGCTCACTCACTCACTGCCTCACTCCCTCCATCGTTCATTCCCTCACTTGCCCGTTGCCTCACACATTCATTCACTCCCTCCCTCCCTGCCTCACTCACTGCCTCACTCACTCGCTCACTTACTCGAAAGTTTAAGATGAAGAAGACCCTTTGACACACATAATCTCATCCTCAGGACTAGTTGGGCTGTTTCCACCCTGCATCATTCACTGCAATACCTTCTAGAGGATTATAAAGCTTTTCATAAATCTTTACTTCATCCTCCATCTGTTGGGCCAATTTTCGGATCTGATTAGAAAGTTGTGTCCCCGATCCCTCTGCAAGTTCCAAGGAATCCTTTACTATAGAATAGATATCCCAACCAACAAGGAGTCCTGACAGACCCAGTGTGCCTAATGCTCGTTTGCTCATGGTTCTGGCCACCGCTTTACCTGCTGATTTACCTGCTGCTTTACCTGCTGCTTCTTTCGCTGCTTTGCTCACTGCTTTACCTGCTGCTTCTTTCGCTACTTTGCTCACTGCTTTACCTGCTGCTTCTTTCGCTACTTTGCTCACTGCTTTACCTGCTGCTTCTTTCACTGCTTTCCTCATTGCTTTACCTGCTGCTTCTTTCGCTGCTTTCCTCATTGCTTTACCTGCTGCTTCTTTCGCTGCTTTCCTAATTGCTTCTTTTGCTGATTTCCTCGCTGCTTCTTTAACTGCTTTATTTGCTGCTATCTTTGCTGCATCTCTCCCTGCTATGCTTGCTGCTTTGTGCGCTGCAATAAGAATCATCACCCTTTTTGTTAAGGTATCAGCTATTTTCTCCACTGTACAATTTGAACCATCAAGGCAGGGATTTAAGAATTGAATCGTTTTAACACACTGATCGCAGCAATCTGCCATTTCTGCACTATCCTCTTTATATTGTTTCATGATTTCATCTATTTGTTTTGCTATGTCCCCTTGTTTAAAAGCATCCACACCACTAGCTGCAATGTTAGTGACACCACCAGCTACACCTATGCCAGCTCCCAAACTTGCAAGCACCAATGATGAACCCATTGTAAAAGGAGCAGCGATTAATCCACCAATGGATAGAATTCCTCCGACAGCACCCATTGAGGACCCTGTAATGTTGGCTATTGTGGCACCTTGGTGAACTGTGTCAATATTGTCGGCAATATTGCACAGTGCTCCTTTGTATTCCCTCATCTTTTTTTTCCATTCAGGAAACAGCTCTTTAAAGCGTTGCACTTCTTCAATCCTCTTTTCCATCTCAGCTTCGAGGGCTTCCCTGTTTATATAATAAATACAATGATATCTGTTCTCAAATAAATTCTCACATAAATACACATTGTCGGCGAAATGACAGTTTAGAACAACACATAGTTTTGAGCTGAAACCTTAAAGCTTAACAAAAAAGGGCGCAATATTTTTGCTAAAGTGAGCAAAGCAGTGAGAGATCCAGCAAGGAGAGCAGCAGAAGACGATGATTTACAAATTTCCAAAAATAAATATTTCTTTTCCAGAGGCACAGGCATTAATAATAATAATAATAATCCTTGCATTTGATATAGCGCTTTCCACGTCTTCTCGACGTCTCAAAGCGGTTCACAGAATAGACTGTAAAGTGAATTGACCGTATATTTGTGGGTGAACGCGGCAGCCAATTGCGCACAGCAATGTCCCACAAACAGTCGTGGATTGAAAATGACCAATTTATTATTCTTTTGTTTTGGAGGGATTATTATTAGGCGTGTGGAGTAAGGAAATTTGCCCAAAGTTTCACTCTGCCTGGAATTGAACCCAGGTCTCTTGCTTGCCTAATAATAATCCCTCCAAAACAAAAATAATAATAAATTGGTCATTTTCAATCCATGACTGTTTGTGGGACATTGCTGTGCTCAATTGGCTGCCGCGTTCGCCCACAAATATACAGTCAATTCACTTTACAGTATATTCTGTGAAGCGCTTTGGGACGTCTAGAAGACGTGAAAAGTGCTATATCAAATGCAAGGATTATTATTATTATATTGCAAGGCGAGTGCTCTAACCATTGAGCTACAGGACTCCATTACTACTCTAGCTCCCTTCAACTTTTGCCTTTGACACTTTAACGCATTTTCTAGCCTGCTCCACATTCCCCACCCAACCCATCCCACCCTCTGAAACTCCATCCCAAATTCCCTGCAAGTCTCTCCCTGTCTCTTTCAAGGCATGCCTCAAGACCTTCCTCTTCCACCGTGCCTTCAGCCAACCTCCTACCCTCCCTACCCTCCACCTTCTCTGATCCCCCCAGCCCACCCCCTCTCGGGTCCTCATCGCAAATCCCTAACCCCTGATTGTTCAGCGTCTTGGGAAAGTGAAAGGTGTTTTACAAATGTAATTTTGTTTTGTAGTTTGTATTGTGAGAATTAATTTGATTTGATGTATAATTTTGATTCTGTAGAATCTTACTCATTATTTATTAAGCTTTACTACTTAAATAGGAATTTATGTCAGTTCATATTTCACCGCAGGGTCACAAATTTAAATAACGCTTATAATTGGTGTCCAAACAGGGAACCTGTGCTGTTGAAGTTGGACAAATACAAATTTTAATATTGTCTAGAAATTGAGTATTAGACCTGTCACGTTTAGAACAGTTGGAGAATTAGAAAAAGTATTCTAAAAACATGGCAGATTCAAACAGAGCATATGTGGAGAAAAGGTTACCTGAACATGTGGAGCTTTTTAAGGAGGCACTACCAGTGACACTCCGATTGAGACATATGGATGAATTGTTGCAGAATTAAGAGATAAAAGAATAAAAAAATAAAAAGGATAAAAGAATAACTGAACTGAAGCTGCATGGATTAAAACCTTGCAGATTTCTAAATACAGATCTCTGAAATCAGAGAATTAAGAGATTTAAAAGGGTTCAAAGAAACCCTGGAAACAGAGGTAAGAGAGTTGAAAGAAACTCAAATGGAGCTCAAACAAAACTGGATAAACAGTAAAAAAGAGTCCAAGAGGCCGAATACCAAATGATTGATTTTAGGGATAATCTGCAAAGAGAACAGTTCAAATAGAAGGGAAGAAATTGAATCTTTTAGATGCGGAGAGTACAAAGTTTAGAAGTTTACACCAAATATTATCAGGCACAGGCAACTAATATTTTGAGGCAAGTGCAGGAATGGGGTGACAAGATAAATGAATGTAAGAGCAAAATATTAAACAACTTGAACAACAGAACAGTGATTTACACACTGTAATTAGAGTGCAAGCAGCTCTGTCACAAAAAGCCAGAAAGGGGAATCGCACGTTGCATCCCAAAAAGAAATAGAAAAAATACAAGAACAGCACACAGTTAACATAACATGTAGGAGCAGGAGTAAGCCATTCGGCCCTTAGATCATGGCTGATCTTCTAACCTAACTCCAGCTAATAACCTGACTCTGCCTTATCCCCATATCCCTTAATCCCTTTTGCAATAAGAAATCTATCTATCTCAGTCTTGAATATGTTCAAGGAAAAGAGTTAAGAGGGGTATAATCAATACCATGACTGGACACAGTAACTGCTGAATCAAGATGGGAATTTACTCCCAAATACTGAAAAGTGAAAGCCTTGTCATTGTATCCAACCCCTCAACACAAATTGAAACCTAACCCAGATGGCGAGGATGAAGAGGTAGCTCGAGTAAAAATACCATATGACACAATGCAACTACAAGTAATGGCAAATATCATTCTCAAATTTGTTGGAAAACCGTATGCCTTTAATCATTTAATGAGGCAGAGCGCGGAGCTATACAAAATACACGTGATGTGATGATAAAGGACATTTCAGGTTACTAGTAGCGATATTGTCCACAACAATGTTTAAAACCTTATCAGTGGACATGAAATATGGGAAAGGCGTTCTGCCAACTTCCAAGGAAACATCTTAAATGCCATAGGATATGATAAAGGAGATCCCAATACAGTATTGGAGCATTGCAGACAAATACCAGGAGAACATCCAAAATGTTATAAAGACAGACAATGGGAACTATTTGAATATCGAATATTTGGTCCATAATAATCTGGATCACTTTGCAGAATAGCACAGAATGATCATTACCCATTCCTTACCACCGTACAAGTCTAGATTTGAAGAAAGCTGGGATAGGAACAATCAGTACTATGATGAGGCGTAGATCACAAGGAGAATGGTAATGAAGTGGGAGTAAGACAGGGTGAGAAAGAAAATTTAAGAAGCCATAAAGGAAATACATTGGTGGAAAATAAACCCAGAATGATGTGGAAAAATGAGGGACTCTCACAGGTTGGAAATGGAAACCCAAATTTTCACCTCCAAGAAGTCCTGTAGCTCAGTGGTTTGGAGTCCTGTAGCTCAGTGGTTAGAGCACTCGCTTTGCAAGTGAGAGACCTGAGTTCAATTCCAGGCAGAGGGCGAAACCTTGGGCAAGTTTCCTTACTCCACACAGAGCCTAATAATAATCCCTCCAAAACCAAAAACAATAATAAATTGGTCATTTTCAATCTACGACTGTTTGTGGGACATTGCTGTGCGCAATTGGCTGCCGCATTCGCCCACAAATATACAGTCAATTCACTTTACAGTATATTCTGTGAAGCGCTTTGGGATGTCCTCCCGACGTGAAAAGCGCTATATCAAATGCAAGGATTATTATTATTATTATTATTAAAGAAGGGAGAAACCGTAAGTGTAAAGAAACAAGTGGTTTGTTTCCAATGTGGAAAATCGAGACATATCAGTCCTCAGTGTAAATCAAACATAGAATGCCATGCTCCGGCAATGTCAATGAACCTTCAAAAGCAAGGTCAACAAAGCCAACTTCCCCAACCCCACTGCTGTCCCCTCTCCTCTTTTCAAACATGACTAAAGACCTTCCTCTTCGACCGTGCTTAGGGTCACCTCCTCTCTCCCCCCCGAATATGCGTCAGGCTTTGCCATTGTTAAGAGTTCCGAGACACTATTCCATGTGAAGGGCGCTATATAAATCCAAGTTGTTGATGTTAACATTAAATTCATGCAACTTAATTTGCTCTTCTACCATAATAAAACCACTTCAATGGTAATAACAAAATATAATAATCCTTGCATTGATATAGCGCCTTTTCACATCTTCTAGATGTCTCAAAGCACTTCACAGAATATACTATAAATCGATTTGACTATGTTTTGTGGGCAAAACACGGTAGCATGATAACAGGAGCATTTTCTTAAATGTAGTTTTAGATCTCCAAAATCAGAAGTTAGTTTTCTAATGTTGGGGTGAAAAAGGAAACTTTCAATGTTTTAATTATATTGACAAATATTACTATTACTGCGCCTTGCTTCCTCCCTTTCCTCCTTCAAGGCCGGTCTCAAGACCTTTCTCTTTGACCGTGCCTTCAGCTCCCCTCTCGACTCTCTACCCCCTCCTCGCTCCCCCCCTTCCCTCCCCTCCTCGCTCCCTCCCTTCCCTCCCCTCACCCTGACCATTTCCCCCCAGCTCGGGTCCCGACCCAACTGCCATGGGACGTCCTCCTGGTGTGAAAGGCGCTCTATAAATGAAATCTTGTTGTTGTTGTTGTATTACTAATAATAATCCTTGCATTTGATATAGTGCTTATCAATCAGTAAGACATCTCAAAATGCTTCACAGATTATATTGAAAAGTGGATTAACTGTATATTTTGTGGGAAAAATGTGGCAGTAAGTTGCACATAGCAGTATCCCACAAACAGTTGTGGATTGAGTGACCAATTTTTTTTAAATTGAGAGATTATTACCCCCAGAAAGCAATCCACCAATTGTCTAACAACCAGGTCCCTATTTACTGATAACTAAACAAAGGTGTGTGGAGTAAGGAAACTTGCCTAAATGTTTGCCCTGCCCAGGAATCGAACCTGGGTCCTATGTTCTACTCCCTGCAGGGTCCCACAACAATATCTGACCGTGATGCCTACAACCCAACCCAGACTTTGGTGAAATATAGAAAAAACACGATCAAACAGAGAGCAATGCAGAGAGATGAGAAGAAGAGATTCATTCACAAAATCAGGCAGTTTATTCAGGAACTGCCTCATATTTGTACGTACCTGTCTTCATTGCATCCTTTACTGTCTGTTAAACAATTGAGAAACAAACCATTATTGCTGGTTATTATAGAGTGAACATGACAGAATACTCATTGACCACCACAATATTGGGGTGTTATATTATTGCATTCATTATCACTCTGTCAAATATTCTACTCTTGGCAATGTCCTTCAACAATAACTGACCGTGAGTGAACAAACTTCACCCCTCGGGTACAAAAAGTTATCAAAAAGGCTAATGGGATGTTGTTCTTTATCACAAGGGGGGCTGGAATATAAAGGAGAGGAAATGATGCTTCAACTATCTAATAATAATAATAATCCTTGCATTTGGTATAGTGCTTTTCAGGTCTTCTCAATGTCTCAAACACTTCACAGAATAGACTGTAAAGTGAATTGACGGTATATTTGTGGAGTCATGTAGCTCAGTGGTTAGAGCACTGTCAGTTATCTAGTCTTATTCAGACCCCATCTGGAGTTCAGCGTTCCGTTTTGGGTACCACTCCTCAGGAAAAATATTTTGGTTCTGGAGGGGGTGCAGCGCAGGTTCACCAGAATTATATCAGGGCTTAAAGGGCTAAATTATAAGGACATGTTGTTCTGCATTCCCTTGAGCTTAGAAGGTTGAGTGGTGATCCAATTGAGGTGTTTAAAATGAGGACGGGATTTGATAGGATTGCTACAGAGAAACTATTTCCTCTGGTGGGGGAAACTGGAACAAGGGGACATAATCCTAAAATTAGAGCTGGGCCATTTAGAAACAAAATCAGGAAGCACTTTTTCACACAAAGGGTTGTAGGCCAGAGTCCACTGATTGGAGGGAGCGGACAGGTTGGTATTGGCTGAATAGGTCACAGAGGTAGGAAGGAGGAAGGTCGTGGAGGCCTTTGAAAACAAGGACGAGAATTTAGAACTCTATCCTCTCCAGCAGTGTAATCTAATTATACAGAGCTCTGAATAATATACAGCTTGTAGAGGGAAGAGCTGGGGAGCTGACAAGCAACGAGAAGCATTATAATCAAACTTGGATGTGATGAATGTATAGACAAGGGTCTTAGCAGCCTGAGGGGAGAGACACCAGAGCAATGTTGCGGAAAGGCAGAATGGGTCATGGCACGGATGTGAGGAATAAAGAATAGTTGAGGGTCAAACAAGATGCCAAGGTCCTGGACTGACTCAGTGAGGTGGTGTGGCATCCTTGGAAAGTGATGCTGTCAGTGCCTGAGGTGAAAAGGCACTGATAGGAGCCAATCAGGAGGGCCTTGGTCTTGTTGACAGTCAATTGGAGAAAATTTAGCTCTCATCCAGAACTCGATGTCTGACAGACCATCCATCAGGACAGCAGTGGTCCTGGAGTCGAGGGTGGAGGCAGAGATATGTGGAAGTTGACCCCATGTCTGCGGATAACGACACCAAGAGGGAGCGTGTAGATATTGAAGGGGAGAGGACCAAAGGCAGAGCCCAGAGGGACACAGATGTGGGGGCTGGAGGAGAAGCCGTTCATGCAGAAGTAGAAGTTCAAGTAGAAATTGTGGGAAAGATAAGATTTGAATCAGGCAAGGACAGGATCATGAAGATTCACCAAACGAGAGGCAGGGGAGGAGGATAGAATGGTCAACAATAATAATAATCGTTGAATTTGATATAGCACCTTATCACGTCTTCGAGACATCTCAAAGTGTTTCACAGAACACTTTGCATGTCAAAGTCAGCAGAGAAGTCAAGGAGAATGAGGAGACAGAGGGAGTCTTGGTCACAGGTAGCCAAAGAGAGCAGGTGGTGGGTTTCATTTCGGTCATAATGTGGGAGAGGAGGGGGAGACAGGTTCGAAGGTGTGGAGGGAAGGATGGGTAGGGCCCCAGGGTGTGAGGGGGATATGGAGGGAGTAGTAATTGTAAGGGCAGAAGCAGCTGAGCGGATCCCCTTAAATTTGGTTTTGAGGAAGTCCAGCATCTCCTTGCAGTTGGCATTGGAGGATAGGATGGGTGAATCATGAAAGGGTGGTGAAGAAGAGGAGCCTGAGACTGTTGGCCTCAAAGATTATCTTGGAATATGAGAACGATTTAGCTGAGGCAAGGGCAGAATGGTAGGCTTTGATGTGGTCCAGCCAGATCTGCCAATGGACCATTGCATTGTGTTTGGTCCAAGTCACCTTGTCAGCACGCACCTGTGCCTTGAGGGAGTGGAGGTGGCTGGTGTACCGGGGACTTGCGTGAGTAGGAGATAGTTCAGGAAATGAGGGGGACAAGGGCATCAAGAGAGGTGGAGAGGGAGTTGTGGAGGTGTTCCAATATTCCTAACTGTTCAAGTATGGAAAGAAACAATCAGAATTCCTCAGTTTGTGGTACAGAAATACTGTCCACAACACAACATTCACAGATGCTCTATCAAACAGTAAGGCTGAGCGACAAGTTGTCCAACATAGAGCATACTAACAAAAATCCTTGCATTTGATTTAACACCTTTCACATTTGGAGAATGTCTCAAAGTGCTTTAAAGGATATAAGGTAAATCAGAGTTGCTGTGTATTTTGTGGGTGAATGCAGCAGTCAATTTGTGCACAGCAATGCCACGAACAGCCGTGAAGTGAATGACTCATTTTATTTGGGGGATTGTTAGTGAGGACACCAGGAGAAACTCACTTTTCTTTTCAAATAGTTCCGTGGAATTTTACTATCCATGAACACTGGGCTAAGACAGGCACCACAGGTCAGTGACTGAATGAGGAATGGACCCCAATATGGGGGAAAAAAACATGTGTGATTGGATAAAAGGGCTGAGAATTCTTACAGTGTCAGCTTTGCCAGTCCATATCTTCAAGACACCGGATGAAGAAATGAGATCTGACACCTTCAATAGAGGAGGAAGCCATGACTCAGGTCTTCACTGAGCTGCTGACCCTGTTCATTGGGTGTTCAAAGCTGATGGAAAGGGATAGGGATCCTACTCCGGGCAGTGTATGAATGGGATTACGATAGGTGTTCGTGGCTTCTGCACAATCCAGTCATTGCTGCAGTTTGTCTGTATTTGAACATCCCTCAGCAGTTTTCATAAACTGGAAATCATCGTGAAACCTTACCTGACATGAGAAACCATGCTGCCAGAAGGACTAAGAGGAAGAGAACGATGAGATTAGACCAGGATCCTGTAACCTCAACGATCATGTTTCTGAAGAGGTAAAGGAAATCAATATTACAGGAGTGCATCTCTATTCATTCAGTCCCTCAAGCCCATTCTGCCATTCTATAAGATCATGGCTGATCTGTTCCTCCAGTCCAATTATCCACCCTTGCCCCATAAACCTTAAAACCCGATCTACCAAATTCTAGCTATATATGAAAATTCTTGTAAATTGGAATGGAAAGTGCACACTCCCTGGAGGGAGCCACCCTGCTTACAGGAGATTTCCAGTAATTCTGAAGGTTTTCACATACCTTTCCCCCCTTTCAATCCACACTTCCACACTGCCCATACCACAGAAACAGCCCTGGTCAAAGTCACTAGTGACATTCTGAACATCTGTGATCAGGGCTCCCTCTGCCTCCTTGTCCTCCTCGACCTCTCTGCTGCCTTCGACACTGTTGACCACTCTATCCTCATACACTGCCTCTCCTCTTTACTTAATCTTCGCAAACCTGCCCTTGCCTGGTTTGATTACAATCTCTCACACCGTCTCCACCATTGCCTCTAACGGTTTCTCCTCCAGCCCCCGCACTGTCACGTCTGGCGTCCCCCAGGGCTCTGTCCTTGGCCCTCTCCTCTTTAACATCTGCATGCTCCCCCTTGGTGACATCATCCGCAGACATGGGGTCAACATCCATATGTATGCAGATGACACCCAACTCTATCTTTCTCCACCCTCAACTCCAGGACCACTGCTGTCCTGACAGACAGTCTGTCGGACATCAAGTTCTGGATGAGGGGAAATTTTCAACAGTTCAATGCAGGTTGGGGGGCAGTGGGGGAGGTAACCTTATGCATGGTTGAAAAGGAACGTTTTCAGGCAAGACTTGAAAAAGGGGAGAGAGGAGGCAAGGCGGAGGGATTGAGGGAGTGTAGTCCAGAGTTTTGGGATGTAGTGGCTGAATAGAGATCCAGATAGTTAAGGCGGAGTGCGGCCACACCGGGATTTGTACATTGGGCGACAGAGAGACAATGGAGCCTGATGACATTGATGGATGCAACTTCAATTTTCTATTGTCCATTCCAGTTTTTCTGTTATATGAACAGGTTTTCTATTGTCTGGTTGGACGAGTCAGGTTGATGTTGATGATTATTCACTACAGGAAGTCAACACACCCTGAAGGGCTGAAGAGCAGCCATTTTTAGACACAGTCAGACAAAGTCAAATGAAGTGTAAAATGGTTTCTGAGGGGGTTTGATAATCTGTAACCAAACCCTATATCCATAATAGTAACAGAACACAGGCCTCAACCACACATCACACGTATCACTGTGCACTGATCAGCAATAATCTGTTACTGTTTAACCTCACAATCTGTTTCAGAATGTTAAATCCTCCAAACAAAAGGCAAAGTACTGTCGATGCTGGAAATCTGGTATAAACACAGAAGTGGCTGAAAACACACAGCTGGTCAGGCAGCATCCATGGGGAGAGGAAATTCCTCTATCCTCTGTTAAGTCCTCTATCGCATCTTTTCTCTGTCTCACCAAAAACAACCCCAATTTGTTGAGCCTCTCCTGAAACCACGGCTGCTCATAGAATTACATAGAGCATTACAGCACAGACACTGCCCATTCAGTCCATAGCCTGGTGTTTATACTCCATATAAACCTCCACTCTGATATTCATTCCCCTTGAGAATCAATGCCGTCCATAGCCTCTCTGTGGCTGTGATAATACATACACTATTCTAACTAATGAAGTAAGCACTTTCTGCTTTACAGTCAATAACTACAAAGCACAACTTAATTTGTCTTTTTATTCTCTTTTAAACCTTTAACCTACATATCCTTACGATCTCTCTGTTCCTCAACATCAGTAAAAGTTACTCCTGGTTACAGCACTAGGTGCTGAGACAATACAAATTGTTAACATTGATAGTTCAGCAACAAACAACCCATTTACCTGGTAGCCTGGGTGACCTGTGTGACTGACCGGCTGAACATGACATGCATAAAGGTGTGCGCAAATTTACAACACAACTTTCTTTCACTTTCACTTTGAGTATTTCTGTAACTAATTCACATATGAAATTATCTAATTTTATTCTAACATTGCGGCCTAGTTGTTCATTAAGGAACAGACTAATTCAGGACCTAGAATCACACAATTATACAGCACAGAAAGAGGTCTTTCGGCCCATCGTGTCTGTGTCGGCTCTTTAAAAAGAACTATGCAAATCAATCCCACTCCCCGCGCTCTCCCTATAGCCTTGCAAACTGTCCTCCCAAAATAATTGTCTATTTCTCTCTTAAAAGTTGTTATCGAAAACAGCTTTCACCACCCTTTCAGGCAAAATATTCCAGATCCGAACAACTTGCTGCGTGAAAAACTTTCTCCTCACCTCCACTCCCCTCTGTTTCTTTTAAAACTATTTTAAATCGGTGTCCTGGGGTTATCGACCCACCCGCCAGTGGAAATAGTTTCTCCTTGTTCACCCTATCGAATCCCCTCATAATTTTGAAAACTTCTATTAAGTCTCCTCTTAACCTTCTCTGCTCCAAGGAGAATAATCCCGGCTTCTCTATCCTCTCCTGATAACTGAAGTCCCACTTCCTGGTACCATCCTGGTCAATCTCCAATGCCTTGACATCCTTCCTGAAGTGTGGTGCCCAGAACTGAAAACCGTACTCTAGCTGAGACTTAACTAGTGTTTTATAAAGGTTCATCATAAATTCCTGACTTTTGTATTCTATGCCCCTATTCATGAAGCCTAGTATCCCATACGCTACTTTAACAGCTTCATCAACCTGTCCTGTTACCTTTAAAGCTTTACTTAGATGGCAACCCACATAAGTCTCTCTGTTCCTTCAATTCCTTTCAGATTGTACCATCAGTTTATATCGCCTCTCCTCATTCTTTGACCCAAAATGCATCACTTTGTATTTCCCCACATTAAACTTCATCTGCCACATGTCTGCCCATGTTACCAGTCTATCAATGTCCATTTGCAGTTTGCTACTATCGTCCTCACTGTTTACTACTTTTCCTAGCTTAGTATCATCAGGTTTGTTAGACATGATTTGTCTTTAACAAATCCGAGTTGGCTGTCCTTTATTAACCCATATTTTTCTAAGTGAGAATTTATTTTGTCCAGGATTACAGTCTCTAGAAGTTTCCCCACTACCGTAGTTAGGCTGACTGGCCTGCAGTTCCCAGGTTTATCCTTCTGGCACTTTGTGTACAGGGGAGTAACATTTGCAATGCTCCAGTACACTGGCACCACCCCGATGTCCGAGGAGGATTAAAAAAATGTGGCCAGAGCCTTCATTATTTCCACCCTTACACCCTCAGTAATCTAGGGTGCATCCAGTCCAGACCGGTTTACTTATCTACCTTGAGCACCGACAATCTCTTTGCCCCTCTTATTTCCTTTTTCAGTTCTCTTCCATACTTTCTATATTCTATTTGATGATCTTCTGTATTTTGGACCTTTTTCTGTTTATTCCCAATTTTTAATCCCAATTTCCTTATTTATCCAGGGAGGTTTGGATGCTCTATCTTTCCCCTTTGTGGAAATTATTATTTCTGTCCCCAAACTATCTCCTCCTTGAAGACTTCCCATTGCTCGTTAGCTGTTTTACCTGCCAATCTTTCTTTCAGTCCACCTTGGCTACGTCCCTTTTTAACTCACTGAAATTATCCCTCTTCCAGTTGAGTATCTTCACCTTTGATGCTCCTTGTCCATTTTCATAAGTACACTAAACCTAATGATGTTGTGATTGCTGTTGTCAACAACAACAAAATCACACTTATAGAGCTCCTTTCACGTCGGAAGGATGTCCCAAAGTGCTGAACAGTCAGGTGTCGGGGCCCGAGCATGGGGTGGGGTGGTGTAGGCGTGAGGGAAGGCATAGAGGTGAGAGGCAGACCAAAGGCACGGTCGAAGATAAGGGTCTTGAGACCGGCCTTGAAGGAGACAAGAGAAGAAGCGAGGTGAGGGGACCGTGGGATGGAGTTCCAGAGTGTGGGGCAGAGAGGTTGAAACCCCAGCCTCCGATGGTAGGGCGGGTTGGGTGGGAGACATGGAGCAGGCCGGAGCCTGATGAACGGAGGGAGCGGGCAGGTTGGTAGGGAATCAGCAGGTCAGAGAGGTAGGAGATGGCAAGGCCAAGGTGAAGACAAGTATCTTGAACTCAATGCTCTCCTACTAAAACCTGCTCCACTTGCCCCACTTCACTCCCCAGAACTAAATCCAGCACTGCTTCCTTCCTCGTTGGGCTGGAAACACATTGATCCAGAAAGTTATCCTGCACATCCTTTCCCCTCCTTGCACTGTTATTTTACCAGTGTATATTAGGATAATTGAAGTCCCCCATTATTAACATTCTATTGGTTTTGCATCTTTCTGAAGCCTGCTTGCAGATTTGCTCATTTATCTCCTTCCCATTATTTGGTGGTCTATACTATACACCTAACAGAGTAACAGATCCTTTTCTGCTCCTTAACTCTAACCAAATAGATTCTGTTTTTGGACACTCTAGCACATCGTCTTTTCCAGGTCAGTAACCGTGTCTTTAATCAATATTGCCACGCCCCCCCCCCCCTCGTTTTTTGTCCTTCACTATCCCTCCTGAATACATTGTAACCAGGAATATTCAGCTCCCATTCCTGCCCTTGTTTGAGCCAGGTCTCCTTTATTGCCATACATCATAACCCCACGTGGAAACTTGAGCCTGCAGCTCACCAACCTTATTCAACACACTCCGTGCATTTATGCACATGCACTCCAAGATCGTTTTAGTTTGTTCTGCATTTCTCTCTCATCTAATCCCTCCTTTTTCTACATTATTCCTTATTACATTGTTATTCTTCTCTCCCAGCCCTCTATGTAATTTGTTTGTTGTCTCTAATGCTACATCCTGATTCCCTTCCCCCCTCAAAATTATTTTAAAACCTTCTCCACAGCATAGTTAACCTCCCTGCGAAGACGTTGGTCCCTGTTCAGGTGTAACCCATACACCTTGTACTGGTCCAAACTGTCTCAGAGCTGGTACCAATGATTCAGGAACCCTGAAGCTCTCCTTTCTGCACCATTTCTCCACCAATGCATTCATGTGTTTCATCCTGCTGTTTTGATACTCACTTGCACGAGGCACTGGGAGTAATCCAGAGATCACCACCTTTGAGGTCCTATTCTTTAGCTTTTTCTCTAGCTTCTGACACTCTCCTTGTAGGATCTCAGCCCTTTTTTTCCCTACGTCATGGATCCCAACATCGACCACAACCTCTGGATGTTCCCCTTCCCCCTGTAGACATTTTCCACCCATTCCATGATGTCTTCAACCCTAACACCAGGAAGGCAACACACCATGCGAGAGTCACGTCTTGGTTGCAGAAATGCCTGTTTACTCCTTTCATCCCAATGACAATTGCATTGACACTTTTCCCTGTGTCCCCCTGTGCATCCAATTGCTTTTGACTCCCCTCCCGAGAGCTATCATCACCCTGACCGGTATTCAGTACAGAGAATCAGTTTGTGAATGCCACACTGTCAGGGGATTTCTGCATGGTCCGTTCCCTCATCCTATCATGCCAGGTGGTCAACCACCCACTCTCCATCTGAACCCTCTGTGGCTGTGGGGTGACCACCTCTTGAAATGTTCAATCCATGAACTCATCACCTCCCGTATGCTTTGTAATGACACCAGCCTTTCCTTGAGCTCAGAAACTCCAGCCGAAGACACTTCCTATACATGTGCTTGTCCAGGCCACACAAAGCATCCTGGAGTCCCCACATGGCATACATTGTGCATGCAACCTGTCTCAGCGGCCCTGACATTTTTTTATATTATTTTAATTTAACTTACATATTTTGTAATTATGCACCTCTTTGCCCATCTACATCGAATTCCCATTCTCACCAAATTTCTGAACAGAATTCTTACTCTGTTCCACCTCCCTCAGGTATGTCCTCACTCTCCTGGGCTCTCTGCTAAAGAGCAGAGGAATCTATATATATTTTTGATGTAGTTTACCTCTACCTCAAGATAGATTCCCCACTCTTCTGCTGAATGAGAATTCTCTCTTGCTCTCTGGTATCTCTCTTACTGAAGAATTCCCACTCTCACCAAGTTTCTTAACAGAATTCTCATTCTGTTCCATCTCACTCAGTTCCCTCCTCATGCTGCTGGGATCTCTGCTCAAGTGACGCTCTTGCAAGTCTTCTCCTTTATATAGGACTCCAACAAAAGCATACAATTTCGACTGGTCAGCAGCTTTAAAGTAGCTAATTATTTTGTTATCAACCTTTCCTTCTACACTGGTACAGTGCCCCCTCCGCTTTCAAAGCAATAGTCATCACCCTAATCACCCACCCCCCACCCCACATCTCAATATCCCTCCTTGCTCTCCAGCTACTGACCCATCTCCAAACTGCCCCTGAACTCCAAGGTGTTGGATTCAGTTGTTCCCGCACAGCTTCACTCCTTCCTTTCCCATCCCTCCTTCCTTTAGTCCCTCGAATCCAGATTCTGCCCTGTCAACCGAGTCTGCGCTGGTAAACGTTGCCAACTACATTCTCTCCATTTCCAATCAGACATGTCTTCGCCCCCTTGTTTTCTTTGTCCTCTCTGCAGCTTTGACACTGTCATGTCCTCCATCATGCCCAGGCTGATTATTCCATTGCCCTGCTGGACAGACTCCCCACCTCTCCTGCCAACAGTACAGATGCCAACCTAATTTGCTTGGCAGCTCTCTTGCTTCTGAATCAGAAAGGTGTGAGGTCAAGCCTTGAGCTCAGGACTTTAAGAGTTTAGGCTGACACTCTGTTTGAGGTTCCATCCTTTAAACCAATGCCCTGTCTGCCTGTTCAGGTGATGTTAACGATCACATGGCACAAAAAATAGAAAGCAAACTTAGCACAGGAGTCTACACTGACTCTCAGAGAAAAGTGTTCAATCAATCCCACTGCTCTCATCATCACTGTTTTTATAACTACAGTATCTTATATCTACAGCCTCCAGTCATTGACCCTCTGCTCATGGGAATAGTTTCTCCCTCTTGACCCTGTCAAACCCTCACCATTGCGTTCACCTATATCAGCTCCTCTCAACCCTCTCAGCTCCAGTGAAAGCCCACCTCTCCGAGCCCTGCCTCCCCAGCCCACCTCTCCTAGCCCCGCCTCCCCAGCCCACCTCTCCTAGCCCCGCCTCCCCAGCCCACCTCTCCTAGCCCCACCTCCCCAGCCAACCTCTCCTAGCCCCGCCTCCCCAGCCCACCTCTCCGAGCCCTGCCTCCCCAGCCCACCTCTCCTAGCCCCGCCTCCCCAGCCCACCTCTCCTAGCCCCGCCTCCCCAGCCCACCTCTCCTAGCCCCACCTCCCCAGCCCACCTCTCCGAGCCCCGCCTCCCCAGCCCACCTCTCCTAGCCCCGCCTCCCCAGCCCACCTGTACTAGACCCAGCCTCCCACCAGCTCACTTCTCCTGGAGCCCCAGCCTCCCTCTCCTAGCTCCACCTCCCATGAGCCTACCTCTCCTAGCCTTGCCTCCCCCAACCGTACCCCTCCTAGCCCTATCAAACCCCACCCACTTCTTCAATCCCCAACTCCCAAGCCCACTTCTCCTAGTGCCCCACCCCTGCTAGCCACCCTCTCCTAGTGCCCCACCTCTTGCCAGCCCACCTCTCCTAGCCCTGCCTTCTTGCCCACCTCTCCTAGCCCCGCCTCCCACTAGCCCACCTCTACTCGCCCCATCTCCCCCAGCCCACCTATCCCAGCCCTATTTCCCGTCATCCCATCTCTCCTAGATCCGCCTCCCCAGCCCACCTCTCCCAGCCCTGCTTACCATTTCCCGCCTCCCCGTGCTCACTGGCCTTAAGTAAATCCACTTTTGATTCAGTTTCAATCCCATGAGCAGAAGATAGTTTATTCGCTATCTTCTGGTTGCAGATCTCAAACAAATACAACAAATGTTGTTACTGACATTTACCGGCATTGAAAAATGCCAATAAAGGCATTGTAATTGCGCTTATCAGGAAAAAATTCCAGTTCATCGGATTGGATCTCTCCCCACATTGGTCTGGCGAAGCCGAGGATTTAGTGTACGGAGTCTCACTTTGCTCAGCCCCCAACCCACGTGTGCCGGTCGGTTATGGTAAGCACTTTGAGACATCCTCTTCATGTGAAAGCTACTAAAGAATGGCTGCTGATTCTTTTCCCAGCACTCCAGCCCCTGTGTTACCTGCACCGTTTGTCTCACAAACATCACTTGTCCTGAGTGTTTGTGTGTTCTTTTATGTATTATTTGTTCCTTTAGGTCAGTGTGGTCCAATAGGCGGCCCATGGCCGGCATCTGGCCTGAGACCATTTCCAACTTTGGACCACTCGCTGCTTCCCTCCCCACAAACCGTCCTCTCAGGGCAGCGGCAGGAGCTGGTGGTTGGGAGGAACTTGCGCAGGGAGTGGAAATAATACCCCCATTTCTGCAATTTGTCATGTGACCCCTGAGTGGCCATTTTCTGCTGCCAGAGTCGCTCAGCTGAGTGACAGAAAGAGAGAGGGAGGGGGGACAGAGGGGAGGGAGAGAGAGAGGAGAGTGGTGGGGGCGGGGAGAGAGGGAGTGAGGATAGAAGGGAGGGAGAGAGAGGAGGGGAGAGAGAGAGAAGGGGAGAGAGTGGGGGAGGAAGGATAGAGGGAAGACAGAGAGGAGAGGGGGTTAGAGAGAGGAGAGGGGAGAGAGAGGGGGGGGGGGGGATAGAGGGGAAGGAGAGAGAGAGAAGGGATACAGATGGGAGGGAGAGAGAGAGAGAGGGATAGAGGGGAGAGAGGGATAGAGGGGAACAGAGGGAAGGGGATAGAGGGGAGAGAGAGAGGAGAGAAGAGATGGGGAGAAGGGGGGAGAAAGAGGGGAGAGGGGGGAGAGAGAGAGGACGTTGGGAGGGGGAGCGAGGGACAGAGCGAGAGAGAAGAGGGGCGGAGAGAAAGAGTGGGGGTGCTAGTGAGGTGGAGAGGGGAAGGGAGATTAGGAGAGAGTGGATGTGGGGAGGGAGGGGTGGGGGGAGAGAGTGGGGGGAGAAGGAGAGAGTGGAGGGGGTAGCGAGAATAGGGAGAGAGAGTGGTGGGGGAGAGAAGGAGAGAGGGGAGGGGATAGTGAGGGAAGGGGAGAGAGTGAAGGGGAGAGGAGAGAGGGGAGGGGTTAGCGAGGGGAGGGGAGAGAGAGTGGAGGGGAGAGGAGAGAGGGGAGGGTAGCGAGGGGAGGGGGAGAGAGAGTGGAGGGGGAGAGAAAGGGAGGGGGGAGAGAGGGGGAAGGGAGGAAGAGAGGGGAACCGAGCGAGAGGGGGAGGGGGGAGAGAGAGAGGGAGGGGGACAGAGAAGGGAGGGTGGAGAGAGAAGGGAGGGGGAGAGTGGGGAGGGGGCACAAATGAGAGAGGACAGAGAAAGTGATTGAGAGGAGAAGAGAGTGATTGACAGAGAGATAGAGAGAGAGAGAGAGATCATGAGGGAGAGAGGGAAAAAGAAATAGAGAGGGGGAGAGAGAGAAACCTAAAGACTGAGAGAGCAGAGAGAGGAGAATTGAGGAGAGATGATTGGAGTGGGGGGTGTGTGGGGGAGAACGAGGTCAGATATCAAGTGAAGAGACGTGCAGTTCCCTCAGAGAAAACTCCCTCTTTCCCCAGTGAGAAACTTCTCTTTGTCCTTCATCCTTCCCCCACCTCCCCCCGCCCTGACCCCATCTCACCGCTCAGCCAATCCTTTGCCCAACAAACACCAACTTTCTTCATGTCCCCCCACCCCATCTGCCCCATCATTGCCATTTTCATGGAGTCCTGTAGCTCAGTGGTTAGAGCACTCGCCTCACAAGCGAGAGACCTGGGTTCGATTCCCGGCAGGTCAGGGCGAAACCTTGGGCAAGTTTCCTTACTCCACACGCCTGATAATAATCCCTCAAGAAAAAAAAACAATAATAAATTGGTCACTTCAATCCATGACTGTTTGTGAGACACTGCTGTGCGCAATTGGCTGCCGCGTTTCGCCCACAAATATACAGTCAATTCACTTTGCAGTATACTCTGTGAAGCGCTTTAAGATGTCTGGACAATGTGAAAAGTGCTATATCAAATGCAAGGATTTTTATTATTATTATTATTTTGCCCCCTCTCTCTGGAGTTCCATTCCCAGATTCTCTCCAACTCGATCCCTCCCTCCCTTCTTTCAAGCCATGTCAAGACCCAACTCTTTGACCACGCTTTCGATCATCTTTTCCCCTCCCTGCCCACCTCCCTTGGCTCCCACCCCCAGCTCAGGTGCCCAACCAATAGTGTTGAGCGTTTTAGACGTTCTTTCAACGTGAAAAGTGTGCTGTGTAAATGTTATGTTCCCCTCACTGAGTGAAACTGCACTAATGAGAATATGCACATGATGACAGGTAATCTCAATGCCTTATTGTGTAACAAAGGGATGCTTTCATCAACATCCTTTGCACTACCAGACAATAATCTGTTTGTATCTCTCCCTCCATCCTTGATCTTTACAGAGACTCGAGAAGCACCGTATAGAAAACTCAACAGTGTTTTACTGGTCCTTAAACCCTATGCCTAATTTACACGAACCAGAATATGACAAATGTCGCAATATTCAGAAATAGAAAATAGCCTGACACTAAACTGTGACACCAGCATCTCTATTCAAAGTTAATTTACAAAGACAAAACAACCCTGACCTGGAGGCGAAGCTCTTGGGTCAGGTATGTACTTCCTTAATGACATACAAGGCGAAGAGTAACCCTGAGTTCAGCAAGCCCCCTTCTTTTATATGTCCTAACGCTGACCCTTCCAATGTATCTCATCCATTTTCTATCCATCTTCCATCTCCTTCCCTTTCAGTGTATCAGTAGGTCCCCTCTAGGACCCACGTGATCCTTTCCTGTCTTTTTTTCAGTGACTCACCCAGGTCACAGACTTTGGGTCACCAAGGCTGTCCTTACTGATTGAAAATTAGATTTTGGTCCCTAGACATTAAAGGCGCTTAAAGCAAAAGCGTCTTGCTTTGCACAAAATCTCAATATGTACAGAATATCTACATTAATAACCCAATAAAAGAGGTAAACAAGGTGACCATGAGAGGGTACTGGCTTGTCCCTAACCTCCTTGGCTCACCATCAATGAGTGTAATTTCAACATATCTGTCTGTCTGCCTCCACTCTCTGGAACACCATCTCATAGTCCTTCTGACTGCCTCCCTCCTTCTCCTCTTTCAAGGTCCATCTAAAGACCCTCCTCTTTGACCATACCTTTGGTCATCCCTCCCTTCCCCACTTCCCTCAGCTCTTTGCCCAGCTAGGAAAGTTAAGAGCCTGAAATATCCTTCCAACATGAAAGGCGTTATATAAATGTAAATTTATATTGTATTGCACTTGTGACAGTAAGTGTCAGCCTAACCTATTCATTTTTTAATATATTCTGTGAAGCGCTTTGAGACTTCTCAAAGACATGATAAGGCACTATATCAAATGCAAGGATTATTATTATTATAATTATATTATTATCAGCCAATGTCAGCTTCCTGCAGCGGTCAGGAGCAGAAGCCTGGCTGGTTTAACCTCCTTGTCCCACAGACACTCATGTCAATTAGTAGCCAAACTGCTGCACATTGATTGATTTATTGAAATAATTCATATTAAATGCAAGGATTATTATACTGATTTAATTTTTCTTTTGAAAACGTTTATAAACCTCTTCACATGCTCGTATCTCATCCTCCATCATATCAGCCGCTTCTCGTATCTGCTTAGCAACTCCTGTCTTGTTAAGGTTAAAGGGAGAGAAATTGTTTGCTCCAGAGTAGACATTACAGAGTCCTGACAGCCCTCCTGTCGCAGCCCTGAACATTACTATCATCAGTTTGGTCGCTGCTGAGATAACTGTGGGAAAAGCACGCCAGTGCTTGGGGAATATCTCAAAGACAAGACTCAATGCACCTTCTCTTAATATTTCATCATTAAAGAACAGTTTCGCACTGTAGAGCTTCATCAATAGACCTGACATTTCTCTGCTGTCCTTTTTATAACGTTCTATGATTCTATGAACTCTTTTCAGTTTGTCTGTCTGTGCCACACCCATGTGTCTAGTCACATCATCCTCAGCTACACCCTTCCTGCCTCCCAGGGCCACAAGCACCAACCTCGTGCTCAGTGAGAAAGGGGCAATAATTATTGCTGTAATGGAGAGTTGCACTCTACTACACACAGTAATATTCACTGTGGGGTCTTGTTTGGGATAATTGACGATGTCGTCTGCAATCTCTCGCAATCCTCTCACGTGTCCTCTCATCCATTCTCTCCAGACCGGGAAATAGTTTTCAAAAGTTTCAATTATCTTTTCCAGAACAACTTTGTTCTCTTTCCTGTTAATGAGATAAAAAGCCAATCAGACAGAGCCATGTGACAACAAGTGATTCATTCACAATATCCGGCAGTGTATTCAGCAGCTGCCTCACATCTGTACGTACCTGTACTCGTTGTCACTGACTGTATCTGTTGAACAAGGGAGAAACAGGAGCCATTATCACTGGTTATTATCTGGTACCAACAGAGAGAACAGACACAATCCTGACTGATACAGTGACCACACAGGAGGGAATGTCCTCACCACTCGCGGGTAAACAAAGCGTTCTCCCCTTGGCAGCGACAGGAGCAGAGCAGCAATGTGGCAGCTCTACTGCTGTCAAGGTTTGGCTTCTTTCCTGACAAACACAGTGGGTCACACAGGAGCCGCGAGTGGGGAACACTCAGCATTGATGATATTGTGCAGGAGTTTCACCCGAATTTACTTTACAAGTTTCCTTATTCCACACACGTGTTTACCTCGCAGTAAGTAGGAACCCGGTTGTAATTTGATTGGTCGCTCAATCCACGACTATTTGTGGCTCACTGCTGTGTGCATTTTGTGTGCACGTTTTGCCCATAAAAACACAGTCAATCCACTTTATAATATATCCTGTGAAGCGATCCACCAATCGGGCTCCGCCACTGTTAAACACTCCGAGATGCCGTGCGGGGTGAAGAGCTCTATATAAATGCAAATTGTTGTTGTTTGAATGACTTGATAAGGCACTATATCAAAAGCAAGGATTATTATTATTCTTTCAGAGTGTGCAGAATTTGGCAAATTGTTGAAGTTGGTTCTAACTTTGAAGCCCATTTTTTCAGTTCTTAAAATAACTTATAGCAACAAGAACAATAAATGATATTTGTATTGTGCCTTTCACATCAGGAGGATGTCCCAAACCGCTGGAAACCCAGCTTCAAAATTAAAGCCCGGGATTAAGAATTTGACAAATTGTGAGCACTCAGAATTTCTGTGTTAAGAGAAAAAATTTAGCCCCAAGGCAGGAATTTCTACCCAGTCACTTCTCTCCTCCTAATGCTACAGTGTTACACATCTCTCCCCACACACACACACACACACACGAACACACAGGATTTACTGTAAAGTGTATTGACTGTGCATTTTGTAGGCAAAAGTGGCTACCAATTTGTTCACAGCAATATCCCACAAGTGAATAACTAATTTTTTCTGGGGCATTGTTTTCCTGACCCTGAGAAATTCTTTGCCTTTTCAAACAGTGCCAGTGGAATTTAAACATCCACCTGAACATGGCACAGATAGACCTCGGTTTAATGTCTCAACTAAAAGGTAGCACATCCGACATTGCAGTGCTCTCCCCAACCCTGCGCTGCTCTCGAGTTTCAAACCCGGATGATGAACTCAAAGTCCTGATGTGGAGCTCAATCCACAAAGTTCTGAGTTAGAGTTGAGAATACTTTCAAACGAACGGTTTCTCTCCCCTCACATGTAAAGTGCAATCCCTTCTCTTCTGCACACACATAAGAAGATTTATTTTGGTCAGATGTACTCTGCTATCTTCCTGCACCCACCATGAATATTACATCACTGAACCCTGCCTCAGCTGTGCTGTACATTGAAATAGTTGCTGTACCTTCCAGATGTTTATAAACCTCTTTATACGCCATCACTTCATCCTCCAGCACTTCAGCCACACCATGAATGTGTTTAGCAATATCTGCCCTGGCTCCACGGTTGAGATTAACATTGTTTGCTCTGGAGATCAGAGACAATATGAAAGGCAGCCTTGTCTGAGCTGCTGACCCGGCCTTGGATGTCACTGTCTCCTGTTTGCTTATTGTTTCAGCCACAGCAGCAAATCCAGCCAAGTGTTCAGTGAGACTCTCAGCTCCACCAGGAAATGTGGTTTCTGATTTCTTACCATAACGTTTCAAGATCCGAACTGCTCGTGAGAGTTTCATGTAACACTCTGCCATTTCTCTGCTGTCCTTTGTATATTGCTCAATGATATCATTAACCCTTTTGCGTCTCTGTGTTTGGGTAACAATGTCCGTGTCACAAGCTGCAGTGTTGTCAGCCCCACCAGCCACACTCTGGCCGACTCCCACTCTCGTGCCTGGTTTGTGAATCGAGTATATATCGTATGCGATCTCTCGTAGGTCTCTGATGTAGCTGATCATCCACACTCTCCACACAGGGAACAAGGTGACAAAATCCTTCACATCCTGCTTCCTCTGTTTAACTTCAGCTTCAAACGCTTTCCTGTTAGGACAAACAAGTGTATAAGGAAGAGATAAGGAAGGTGACCAGTAAGGGACCAACGATCGTAATTGGTGATTTTAGAAATTAATTGGGATACTGATAATAAATCGAAGCTCTCGCAACAATGCTCTGTGGTTATGAGTAGATCAAACCAGATGTTAGAATGTATCAAAAGGTAATAATAATGAAAATAATAATCCTTACATTTGCTATAGCTCTTTCTCAATTCTTCAACACATTTCAAAGCACTTTACAGAATATACTGTAAATTGAATTTAGTGTGTATTTTGTGGATGAATTGCAGCAGCCAATTGCGCACAGCAGTGTCCCACAAACAATAGTGGATTTTTTGTTAAGGAATTATTATTCCCGGAAAAGTGATCCACCAATCAACTAACAACCGGGTTCCTACTTAATGCTAGATAAACAGAGGAGTGTGAGTAAAGAAACTTGCCCAACATTTTGACCTGCGGGGAATCAAACCCAGGTCTTCTCAATAGCAAGACGAGTGCTCTAACCACTAAGCTACAGGACTCCAAGATCAATAGCAAGCTGAAGTAGTGGTGTAATCCTGCCACTGTATAAATTGTTGGTGAGACTATACTTAGAGTATACTGTGTGCAGTTCTGGTCACCGAAGTACAAAAAGATATGGGAGAAATTGAGAGGATACAGAGGAGGGCAACCAGAATGGTTGGGGAAATGGAGGGACTCACTGGACTATGAGAACAACAAAATTACATTTATATAGTGCCTTTCACATGGTGAGGACATCCCAAGGCGCTGGACAATCAGTTTTTCGGACCTGAGCTGGGGGTCGGGATTGGGGAGGCTGGAGGGCAGAGGGGAAGCATGGTGATCGAAAGCATGGTTGAAGAAGACGGTCTTGAGATGGATCTTGAAGGAGGCAAGGAAGGGGGCGAGGTAGAGGGACTGCAAAATGGAATTTCAGAGGGCGGGGTCAGAGTGACTGAAGGCTCACCTGTCAATGGTTGGGTGGGCGAGGCGAGGGAAGTGAAGCAGGCCAGAGCCCACTAAGCAGAGGGAGCGAGCAGGTTGGTATATGGTAAGGAGGTCTCAGAGGTAGGGGGGCGCAAGGCCATGAAGGGCTTTGAAGGTGAAAAACAGGATCTTGAGCTGTATCCTTTGTGTGATGAGATGCCATTGGAGTCGGGCGAGGTTGGGGGTGAAAGGGTCACAGAGGATGGTGCAGGAGAGGACACGGGCTGCAGCGTTCTGGATGATCTGCAGATTATGGAGGCAGGAGTTGGGGAAGCTGACAAGGAGGGACTTTGAATAGTCAAGCTTGGATGTTATGAATGCGAGTATGTGGGTTTCGGCGGCCTGTGGTGTGAGACAGTGGCAGAGCCGGGCAATGTTACAGAGATGGGGGAAGGCAGAGCAGGTCATGGCATGGATGTGGGGTAGAAAGTACACTTGAGGGTCAAACAAGACACCAGGGCACCAGACTGGCTTATTAAGGTGGAGTGTGCATCCATGGATAGTGGTGCTGTCAGCGCCTAAGGTGTTGAGGCATTGACAGGAGCTAATCAGGAGAGCTTCATTCTTGTTGACTTTCAACTGAAGAAAATTAGCTCTCATCCAAACTTGATGTCTGACAGACATTCTGTCAGCACAGCAGTGGTCCTGGAGTCAAGGATGGAGGCAGAGAGGTAGAGTTGGGTGTCATCCACATACATGTGGAAGTTGACCCCATGTCTGGGGATGATGTCACTAAGAGGGAGCATATAGATATTGAAGAGGAGGCGGACAAAGACAGAGACCTGAGTAACTCCTTATGAGATGGTGCGGGGGCTAGAGGAGAAATTGTGGAGAAGAAGTGGAGACGTTGTGAGGGGTAGGATCTGAACCACTTGAGGAGTGCCTATTGGGCATGTTCACGCTGGAAAAGCAAGATTAGATAGTTTGGTACATATTTGCATGCGACTGCTAGGAAGGTTGAAGGCGAACTAGATGGACATTGGTCTTTTTTTCATCTAGCGTTTCTAATGTTCTCGTGGTCTTATGTAGTTCTCACTTATTCCCACATATTACATGTGACAACATTCCTTCCCGTGTCTCCGGTAATGTGAGTCACACACAAACGCTCACACACACACACTAACACACACACGCGCACACACACACAAACACACACACATCAGACAGTTTATTCAGCAGCTGCCTCACATCTGTACGTACCTGTCCTCGGTTACATTGACTATGTCTGTTAAACAAGGGAGAAACAAGAGCCATTATTATTGGTTATTATCTGGTATTAACAGAGTGAACAGACACAATCCTGGCTGATACAGTGACCACACAAGAGGGAATATCCTCACCGTTCACAGTAAATTTATTTTTGGTGAGTGGGTGTCTGATTCTTGTGGAAACCCAACATCGTGCTCCTGAGTATCCAAACCAGACTGAGTTCCACGTCTGCATGTCACCTTCACCTGGAATTTACCCTGTGTCTAGAATGTGCTCTTTCCCTCTACCTAGAAGGACAACCCCTGCTTATCTAAATCCAGAGAGTACAGGCTGGCAAGGGCCAAGGTTTAGGGACCCCAGATTGTGTGTTGGGGTAATTGCTGGAGTCTAACCAGCTAAAACCGCATAGCTTGCCATTGAGAGCTCTATCTGACAAGCTTTCCCACTGCTTGTCCGCCTTGGACCACATTTCCCATTAGAGCTTTGGCTTCCAGGGTTAACAGGAGCTGAGTGGGAAGAGTCTTTGTCCAGTGACTGTTCTGCCCTTCCAACTCCTGCCGATGATTGTGCCATCATCAGCAGGGTCCTGGAGTACTGTGGACCCGCCTGGCTCAAGAACTAGATGAGAGACGGTCATGGAGGGCTGGTTCGATTCTGACATTCCGATGCCAGGAACCTCACCTTAGAGCCAGCTCAGCCCTGAGAAGACAGCAGGAGCTTGTTACCTGACTCGCAGTGGGCACAGGATTGGAATAGAAGTTAATACAATATTTTCATCGATTCCAATAGTTTAATTACCTGGTCTGGAAATCTGTGCCATTGTGTGAACTCTTCCCTGTCATCAATGATGTTTCTGAACAACCTTTGGAAATGAAGAAAAACAATATGAATGCAATCTCTCCTTATCATCCCTTTCCAATCTCTTCCTGACAATAACCACAGTCATTCTGTCAAAGGCTCAAAACTCGTCTCTTCACAGCTGTTTGTGGGACCTTGTTGTGAGCAAATTGGTTCGTATGTTTGGATAGGAACTCCTCAATCTTCCTCAGATTCACCAAACCAGTGCGCCATCTAGGCGTCCAGGTCGACCCACAGCTTTCCGCCCCCACGTCCTGACCAGGATCGCCTTCTTCCACCCCTGACACATTGCTCACCTCCGACCATATCTTACCCAAAATACAGCCAAAACCCTTGTGCATGCATTTGTCACCTCCCACTTGGATTACTCAAATGCGCTCCTCGCCGGTCTCCCCAGCTCCACCATTCACAAGCTCTTTCAAAACTCTGCCGCCCACATGCCGACCCGAACTAAACTCCGTACCTACATCTCACCAGTTCTGACCCGGGCTCCACTGGCTCCCCATCACCAAACGGATCGACTTCAAGATCATCACAATTGTATTCAAATCCCTTCCCTTCTGGCACCTCCCTCCCTCTCTGACCTCCTCACTTCCCAATCCATCACCCAGCGCCTCTGCTCGATTGACACCATCCTCCTGCTCTTCCAGCACACTCTCCGCCCCACCATTGGAGGTCGTGCTTTTAGCCACTGAACCATGAAACTCTGAAACACTCTCCCTCAATCCCTCCGCCTTGCCCCCTCTCTTCTCTTTTTCAATTCCTGCCTGAAGACTTTCCTCTTCGACCGTGCTTAAGGACACCTCCTCCCATCGGCTCAGTGTCAGGCTCCGCCACAGTTAAGGGCTTTGAAATGCTATCCTGTTGGTTTTTTTACCACCTTCACTCCCACCATTACAGATCTGTGTATCTGCACCTATGATCTCACTGATCCTCAACATCATTTAAAGTGTCACTTGTGATGATTATCCTGATCCCTGCACTGAGAAACAGCTGTTAAAGTCTAGAATTGAACTATAAAATAATTTACCTGTGTGCTGGAGCACTGGTTGTCTGGCGAGTGTCTGTTGACTGGTGAGATCAGCAGCTGAATCACTGTGTGACCTGAACAAGTTCCTTGAACTCTTTCAGTTGCTGTAACTTGTGAGTGTTTGCTGTGGTTGGATTCTATTCCAGATTGGCACATAGTGTTTCAAACAAGAGCCTCGCCACATGTCTACCTACCATTCAAACAGATTTCACCAACTCATAAAAAATAATCAGAGAAATTAGAGAGACAGAACCCAGCTCCCAAATCAAGATTATATTTCATTTTGTTTTCCACATTCCACACAATCTTACATTTTACATTCTCTCAGAATGTTCTCAGGAATGCCATGAACAAGCTATCAGCACAGGCAGAACGGAAGGAAGCTTCTAAAAGGACCTAGACAGATTACTGGGGGTGACTAATAGCCAATAAGTTAGATGTAGGAAAGGGATGATTTGAGAGTCAGGTGGGTGGCAAAATAATAACATAATCCTTGCATTTGTTATAGCAACTTTCACATCTTGAAGAAACTCACAGTGCAGTGACTGTGTATTTTATATACAAAAGTAGCAGCAAATTTACATTCTGCAGGAATGGCTAGGAAGTAAATGAGGGATTTTTATGGTTTTATTGCTCCAGATGGAGTCTGCGTTGCTCCCTATCCTCTCAGGACATCAATCTCAATCATATTATGCTCATTGTGTGCCAGGTGCTCTGACCAAGTAACCTGCTCTCCATCCTCACACTGTTGCTCATTATTAGATCTGATAGGACCATCTCTCTTGTAGATTCTGAACCATTGGCTCATGTATCCATCCAGCTTCATGCCCACAAATATACGTTCGCCCTTTTTACTTGCATTCTGCTGCTCCCTGTTAAGGCCTTCTTGGAGCTGAACTCTAATAACTGGCACAAGAACCTCAGAATCAAGTCGATCCTCTGTGGCTGAGTGAGGCGGGTGTGCAGTTCTCCAAGGCACTGCTGATGGCAGCCCAGCCAGCCTGGCTCACCACACACAGTGCTTTCAATGGCAAGCTATGAGGATTTAGCGGTTAAACTCCAGCAGTGCCCCAGTTCCCTCTGTCCAAGCCTTGTCTCTGTGAGTCAGGGCGGCATAGGGAAGGCAGATGGTTAAAGCAAAGCTTTTCTTTATAAAACCTGATCATGGAAACTCCCAAGGACAGTAAATAGTGAGTGAGGATTATTCTCTTTCAGACAGTTAGCAAACAGAAACGATTTTTTTTGACTTTGGAATTTGGACTGTGTTTGTATCATTTAAAACTAGAATGTAGAATAGTTCCTAAGGTGTATTTGAACAGTGTAAACAGAGCTGAATTGGAGTTTCACCAGACCATGTTACTCACTGTCCTCCTCACTGCTGTGTAATGAGTGAGGACCCAGTTTCCCTGTTTGTAGATAGTCAGAAAGTGATCCCCAGTGTGTCGAGGCCGGGATACATACCCCAGGCTGACCCTTCTCAGCCGCTTTTCTGAAGCCTTGTAGCTCATCTCCTGCAGTGCCACTTGCTGGCCAGTTGTAGACTGATTTACACTTGGGTTTGTCCACCTGTGACGCTGTTTCTCTGACTCTCGCTTGTTGCTGGTGTTAATCCCTTAACACTGGCCCCCAAACAACAGGCCCTCACACAAACCAATCCCCCACCCAACACCAGCCCCGCCAACACCAGCCACCAACTCCAGCCCTCCCAACTCCAGCCCCCCAACACTAGGCCCCTCAACATCAGCCCCACCCCCAACCACCACAACACCAGTCCACCCCAACACCAGCCCCCCCAAACCAGCCCCACCCCCATCCCCCTAAACAACAGCCCCCAATAACAGCCGCACCTCCAACCCCCTAACACCAGCCCCAACTGCCCACCAATCCCGCCAACACCAGCCCCCCAATATCAGCCCCCCAATACCAACTGCTCACTACCCCCCCAACACCAGACACCCCCAACAGCAGACCCCCCCCCAAAACCAGTCCCCCCCAACATCAGCCCCCAACACCATACCCCCTAACACCAGACACCCAACACCAGTCCCCCAACACCAGCTCCCAATACCAACTGCTCACCAGCCCCACCAAAACCAGACCTACCCCAACACCAGACACCCCCAACACCAGCACCCCCAACACCAGACCCCCAACACCAGACCCCCCCAACACCAGCCCCCCAACACCAGCCCACCCTCAAGCCAAAACACCAGCTCCCCTAACACCAGTCCCACCCCCAACCCCCTAAACACCAGCTCCACTAAACATCAGTTCCCCCTAACACCAGCCCCCTAACACCAGCCCCCTAACACCAGCCCCCAACACCAGCCCCCACCAACACCAGCCTAGCCCCATCCCCCTAAACACCAGCACCCCCAACACCAGCCCCCAATACCAGTCTCACTCCCAAACCTCTCAACAGCAGGCCCCCAATATCAGTCCCCCCAACACCAGTACCCCCAACACTAACTGCCCAACACCAGCTCCCCCCAAAATCAACCCCAACAACACCAGCACTCCCAACACCAGCCCCCCTGAATCCTCCTCCAACACTAGCCTCCAGCACCAGTCCCCCAATAACAGCCCCCAACACCAGCCCCCCAACACCAGCCTCCTCCCCTCCCACTCACCGCTGGCCTCTGCATCTGCTCGGCTGGGTCCAGTCTCCTGCTTGTCCCTTCCACTTCACCATCAAGGTCATGCTTTCAGCCTCATCTCCTCAAGACTCTAGAGATGTCTGCTTCAATCACTCTGCCTCACCCCGGCTTGTCAGCTTCAGATCACACCTTAAGACCTTCCTCTTCAACCTTCCTTTGTCGCTGGCTCAGTGTCAGACTCAGCACTGTTGAGCTTTCGAGACGCTATCTCACATGAAGGAAACTGTAAAGGCAAGTTGGTGTTCATGTTGTTTTGTGGGAAAGCCCAATAGCCAATATGAACACAGCAGACAGGACCTTGGTTTAACATTTCATCCAAAGGACGACACCTCCGAGAATCCATATTTCAAACAGGAACTTTTATGTCAGCAGGATGTCTCAAAGGGCTTCACACCATGGAGTGACTGTAAGTATCCAATTTGCACACAGCAATAGCCCACACACAACCATGAAGTGAATGACCAATAGTAGTTGTTGGACAGGAAACGGAAAGAGAGAAACTCCTCTTTTTGATTTTTGCTGCAGGATCATTAATGTCTACCTGACCAGGCAGATTGGACCTCAATTTAACAGCTGAAGCGTTCTGAGAGACTATTCTGTGTGAAGTGTGAGGTATCATCAATAGCGGGCTAGTTAATGCCCATTGTTGTTGTTAAACGATACTACCTCTGACAATACAGCACACCTCCAGCACTGAAGTGGAATGACAGCTTTGAGATCTATGTCTCCCACCTAGGATTGAACCAAGCTTTTGACCCGTAGTCAAGATTGCTACCGTAATCCAGGTTGACATGTGATCCTGACAGCTACTCTGGAAGCTGTGAGAGTGTGTGTGAAATTTGGGGGGGGAAAGGATTGAGCTGTTCCCCTCCCCCCCTGGGGTAGGGGCTCTCCTGCCCCTCATTCACTGGGTCAAAAATGAATTGGAGCTCAGACCAAAATGTAGTAGGTTGCTCTGGAGATGCCCCTCAGTATAGAGCACTCTGGCTCTCAATGGCAAGCTATGGTGTTTCAGGTGGTTTAACTCTAGCAGATACCTCCACCCATACTGTGGTATCTTAGTTCAATAACAACAACTTACATTTATAAAAATTATAATAATAATCCTTGCTTTTGATATAGATCCTTATCACATCTTGGAACCATCTCAAAGCACTTCACAGAATATCTGTAAAGTGAATTGAATGTTATAGAGCCCTTCACGTCGGACGGCATCTCCAATCCTGGCGAGGGATTTGGACCCACAACCAAGTCTCAGAGGCCTGAGAGCTGCTAACCTAGTCAAGCTGGCACACGATACAACAACAACAACAATATTACATTTATATAGAACCTTTCATATTAGGAGGACGTCCCAAGGTGCTGTAGATAGACCTTTACATCAAACTTTTATGACAAACATTCTGGTGCATGAACTATCAGTGTAGAACCATCGCACTACTCTCTATTACTGGTCTCCCAATGATCTGCCCTGTAACCTTGTCCTATGCCCCGTGGAATCTCTGAAACTGGTATCAGGAATTATTGCTCAGCCTCACATTTACTGGAATATCAGTGATCACACCTTCATTTATTTCCTCACCTTTGTCCTGTCCCACCATATTACTGTTAAATTACAGTCATATTCCTCAGAGCTAATGCTGACTCTGTACAGTAAACGTGAAAGTGAAAGAATGTGTTGGGAGTTTCCGTGCTGGTAAAAGTGCTACACTAAATATGATTGATTTTGGACAATCATTTCAACACTTTATAGGATCCCAGCAATTTGACTGTATTTATGTCAAATAGGAGATGCTAAATGTCTGACTGCCAATGATTGGGCGGGAAGTGTGGGGGACCTGAGGCAGGCCAGTGTCCGCTGATCGGACGCTGCAGACAGGCTGATAAGCGATTAGGAGGTCGGTGAGGGTAAGGGGGAGGAGCAAGACCATGAAGGGCTTTGAAGCTAATTTTGAGGGTTTTGTACTCAATTCTCTGATGGTTGGGAAGCCGGTGAAGCTGGGCAAGAACAGTGGTGATTGGTTCGTGGAGCCTGGTGAGGGAGAGGACATGAGCTGCAGAGTTCCTAATATCCTGCAGCTTGTGGAGGGAAGAGTTGGGAAGTCCAGTGAGCAGGCAATTGGAATAGTCAGGCCGAGGCATAGAGAGTAAGGAAAGTAGCCTAATAATAATAATAATAATAATAATAATCCTTGCATTTGATATAGCGCTTTTCACGTCGGGAGGACGTCCCAAAGCGCTTCACAGAACACACTGTAAAGTGAATTGACTGTATATTTGTGGGCAAACGCGGCAGCCAATTGCGCACAGCAATGTCCCACAAACAGTCGTAGATTGAAAATGACCAATTTATTATTGTTTTTTTTTGGTTTGTTTTTTTTTTGGAGGGATTATTATTAGGCTCTGTGTGGAGTAAGGAAACTTGCCCCGCCCAGGAATGGAACCCAGATCCTCTCACTTACGAGGTGAATGCTCTAACCAATAAATTACAGGACTCCACAAACATCAGTTCTAGGAAAGCTATTGGAATAAAGTAAGGGATAAAGTAAAGAACACTTGGACAGGTATAAGATGATTAAGGAAAATCAGCATGGAATTATGGAAAAGTGCAGGTCTTGCTTGACATACCTGATGGAATGTTTTGAAGAGGTCACATTAGTGGTGGATATGGGATGGTCAATGTTTACATTGATTTTCAGAAGGCATTTCTGATATAGTTCCACAAAAGAGGCTGTGGTATGTTGTGAGGATGGCAGCAGAAATGTGGTAGTTTAATTTAGTAAAGTGCAAGGAGGTTCATGTTAGATCTAAGAATGAGTAGATACATTCTTGACAGATAAAGACTTGGCAGATTAATGAACAAAGGAATCTTGGTGTTTCCGTTCAGAAATCTATCAAAAATAGCACAAAGGTGCAGAAGGTAATCAAAAAGGCTAATGTTGGCATTTATCACAATGGGGCTGGAATATAAGAGTCAGGAAGTGATGTTACAATTCTATAAAATGCTGGTGAGACCTCATTTGGAATATTTTGTGATATTTTGGACACCAAACCCTAGGAAAGATATATTAACCTTTGAGTGTGCAACGTAGATGTACTATTTTGGGCAGGTCAGCCAGGTGTTTGACACGTATGGAAACCTATCACCATGCTTAAGAGTATCCAAACCAAACTAAGAATTCTATGTGTAGAGTCACCTGCAACAATAAAATAATAATACTTGCATTTGATATAGCACCTTATCACATCTTCGAGACATCTCAAAGTGCTTCACAGAATAATGTGTAAAGTGAATTAACTGTATATTTTGTGGGTGAAATAAATAAACCACATCTGTAATGGGTTCAATCAATTTATCTACTTTATAAATCGATAATAATGGTAAAATCTCAAACAAGTACAGTGAAATACAGTGGTAACTTTATATTAAGATACCTATTATAGTGGTGACTGACTCAAAAATTATGGTATTGATTGGTTATCTCCTCTGGGAGAGTGGTGACTTGCTTTTGCTAGCTTCTTCAACAACAACAACATGATTGCATTTATAGAGCGCCTTTCACGTCTTCAGGCTTCTCCACTGAAATTTGCTTCCATTTTTCATTTCAAACTTCCATTCTTATACCCCATAGTTTACAGGAGCCAGAAGCTGACTGACCCCATTAGAATTCAGTTAGATTGTCCAACTATATTCACAAACTGGATCATCCAATCACCTTTCCATTCGTAGGATATGTACATGCATCACATACATCGCCCTAAAGCAATTTGTTTTTTTTTCATATTCTGATAATGAGTGGGGGGCGAAGTTGAGGCCAAATGATAATAATTCTACTGTGACCCCTAAGGTCATAAAACCTTTCCTTAAGAACACAAAATTGCATCTTATTTTCTTGGGATCGATTGTTGGGCTCCTACTCTCACAGAATGATAGAAAGCATTTGGTGCTAACAGCTTTTGTCCTCATTAGCACATTCCAAATAACAACAACAAATTGCATTCAGATAGTACTTTTGAATGTTGGGAGGACGTCCCAAGGCACTGGACATAAATTGTTTGTGGAGCAGGCAGGGCCTGCCGAGCAGAGGGAGTGGACAGGTTGGTGAAAATTTAATAGGTTGTAATGGTAGGGAGGAGCAATACCGCACATGGCTTTAAAGGTGAGGACAAGGATCTTGAACTCTATCCTCTGGGGCAGGAGAGCCAGTGAAGCAGGGAAAGGATGGGATGATTGGCACTCAAAGCAGGGAAAACTATAATGGAGGATACGGAGGCAGAGGGAGAGAAGATGTAATTGTGACTTTGACAAGCAATGTCTCTGTACTTGGGCAGGGTAGAAATCAGACCAGAGGGGATCAAGCAGGGAATGGAACAACGTTCAATATTTAATTTGATTCTGACATCAATCACAACCTCACTCTCAGGGCTGCACCTCAGTGATGCATGGCGTTTTGCCTCCTGCTGTTTGCGTCACAATCTTGTATTGTACTCCTCGTCCAGCTTATCTAATGTAACCTTCATGAGATCAGCTTTCTCTCGGATCATTTTTGCAGCTTTCTTCTTTTCTATTTTGTACTTAACCACATTTCTGATCAGCGAGGTGACTTCTCCCAGCAGGGGCAAGCATGACAAAGTGGACTTGGCAGCAAATTGAATACCTTTTGTGATCAGCTTCTTGATCCTCTTCCTTGTCTTCCCGTGTTTCATGTTTGACTCCATGCTGCGGCTCACCTGGAAACAATTATCTATTTCTGTAAGGGCTGAGCTACACTCCTTCACAATCTCATCAAGTTGTCTTTTCTTATTTTTTCTTTTGAAGGACGATCCGACACGAGCTGTGAAGTTAGTGACATTGCCAGCGATGACCATCCCAGCCCCCGCAGCCGTGAGTCCCAACGATGCCCCCAGGGTAAAAGGAGCAGCGAGTGCTCCTCCGACTGCAAGAATCCCTCCAACTATTTTCACAGCAGACCCCACGACTTTGGCAGTGTTGCTTCTATCTTGACACTTGTCAATATCATCGGCGATCTCTCCTATTTCCTCGATGCAGGTACTGATCCGTGTTTTCTGGTCAGGAAACACTTTCATAAAATGCTGTAGCTCTTTATCATGCACTTCCTCCAGATCCCTGCTCATAAGAAGATCAAGAATTATTTTAAACATTGAATTTACAGGAGAGGGGAAGACATCGCAAAGTGCTTCACAGGATTCACTGTAAAGTGATGACCTTATATTTTTGTGGGCGAACACGGCAGCCATTTGGACACAATTCCCTGGCCGTGGCAACCACCTAACACCTCTCATCTCAGGACTTTCCCACTTATATCCAGGAGCACTAAGGTACAGAATGAAGCTCCTCACTCGACTGAAACTCGTAGTCACAACACAAGCATCTACTGTATGAGTGAGTTTCAGATTGATGCTGCATGTCTTGTGTCCAAACGTTTCAATCAAGTGAGGTTCTTTATGGTTTATTCACATTGATGTGAGTACCTGCCTGTTTGTCATCCTCCCCAACTCCTCCCTCCATAGGCTGCAGATCATCCAGAACTCTGCCATCCGTCCTCTCCCACACCAGGCTCCGTGACCCTATCAGCCCCATCCTTGCCCGACTCCACTGGTTTCCCATCAAACAGAGGATACAGTTTAAGATTCTGGTCCTCACCTTCAAAGCCCTTCATGGTCTTGCTCTCCCCTACTTCTGAGAACTCCTAACTCCCTACCATCCTGCCCGCTGCCTCCACTCAGCAGTCTCTGGCCTACTTCACATCCCCTGCCTCACCCACCCCACCATTGGCGGGCAGGCCTTCAGCCACTCTGCCCCCAACCTCTGGAACTCCATCCCACATTCGATCTACCTCGCTCCTTCCCTTCTAAAAGACTCATCTCAAGACTCTCCCCTTCGACCATGCCTTCGACCACACTCCTTCCAACCCTGCCTCCACCCTCACCAATCCCGTCCCCAAGCTCTGGTCTGAAACATTGATTGTCCAGTTTCTTGGGACATCCTCCCGATATGAAAGGCGCTCTACAAATGCAATTTTGTTGTTGTTGTTGTCGTTGTTGCCTCCCACCAACAGTCACATGCCAATGTAATTTTCCCACCAATATCCAGGCCGCTCTTCACAGGGGGTGAATGTTTGGTGGTAGGTACTAACATAAATACTTCTACAGTAAAAGAAGAAAGAGACCCTAAATAGTGGAGTCCTGTAGCTCAGTGGTTAGAGCACTCGCTTTGCAAGTGAGAGACCTGAGTTCAATTCCAGGCAGAGGGCGAAACCTCGGGCAAGTTTCCTTACTCCACACAGAGCCTAATAATAATCCCTCCAAAACAAAACAATAATAAATTGGTCATTTTCAATCCACGACTGTTTGTGGGACATTGCTGTGCGCCATTGGCTGCCGCGTTCACCCACAAATATACAGTCAATTCACTTTAGAGTGTGTTCTGTGAAGCGCTTTGGGACGTCCTCCCGACGTGAAAAGCGCTATATCAAATGCAAGGATTATTATTATTATTATTATTATTAGTGGTACGCAGAAGAAGGGAATTTCAAACATTAACTTACCTTTGATTGGCTTCTTCGAAGTCCTTCCTGTAATACATCTTTCTCCTCACATACTCATTGCTGTATTCTTTCCCAGCCTTGCTGGTGTGCTGTTGCTATATTCCACACTTACCTCATCTCCTCTATGCTGGGAACACTCTCTCTCTTTCTCTCTTTCACATGTACGCCTCCCAGCTCTGTAAAAAGCCGGCACAGCCAATCTTCAGCAAGTATATACAAAATTGGCCAGCTGGCAACACTCTTCACGCCACCATCATTGGCCGTGCCTTCAGTCACTACACACCCAGCATCTGGACCTCTCTGCCTCAATCCCTCCACATCGCCCCCTTTTTATCTGTCTTTCAATCGCACTTTAACACCATCCACCCAGTGAGGGTTAAACCCACGCCTGACAGGTATCTAATAACTATCTAGTAACTATTCTCTTTGAGGTGGGAGTGAGCAGGAAGTAAGATGAACTGACTCCAAGGTCACATGTTTGGTAATGGAATGTCAGAATCAATCCCACATTCTGTGACGGTCTCCAGTCCGGTCACTAAGCCTTCCAGGGGACGGGCGCATAGCATTCCAGGGGACTGCTGATGACAGTACAGCCCGCCTGGCTTATCGGCAGGACTTGGAAGGGGAAACCAGTCACTGGGGGCGGGGAGCCAGACTGCAATATCAATGGCAAGCTATGCAGATTTAGCTGGTGAGACTCCAGCAGTACCCCAACACGCAAACTGTGGTCCCAAGCCTTGATCCTTACCAACCTGCACCTAAAACTCTTCAGCAATAATGAAACAGATTGTATTCCTCCAGGGTTAGCAATCCATTCCAACAAATGATCTCTGGAATTTCCATGTACAAGTGAGATGCATGGTACTCTGTTTGGTTTGGATACTCTTTGGCACCTTGGGACATCATTCAAATGTAAAAGGCGCTATAGAAATGTAATTTGTTGCTGTTAAGCATAATGATGGTTTTCTCCATGTGGTAGATACCCAACTGACCAAAAAACAATTCCTACCTTAACTCCTACCTCTTTGACTGCGCCTATTGTCACCCATCTTTCCCGTTATCCCTTCCTTAGTGTCTAACCCCCGCACTGTGAAGCCCTCCAAGATATTGCCCTATGTAGCTGCACTGTGTAAATACAAGTTAATGTGAGAGAATTCATCCATTCAGCACCTAATCTACGCTTTCAGCTCACACTTACCTTTCTTCATCTGCACTGAATTCCTTGTCTGTTAAAGAAATGAGACAAATAATGATTATTAATATTAGCCTAATTGAGGTGTTTATAATTCTGAATGGATTTGATGAGGAGGATGTTGTTAGGTTATATATCAATTAAAATATATTATTTGTAGAGTTAGAGCACTGGAAAAATCATAGGGTTAAACAAAGACAATTTGTGTTAAAAAAAAGACTTTGAGGTATTATCAGGTTGTAGTGGTGATGACCAACTATAAAAACATGCAGCACGGAGAAAAGAAAGTTCGAGATACGAAAGGGAACATTCTAGAAGAATGAGGTGTGTATGTGTGGCAAGAGAATAATAGTGTGAAACCCACTCTCTGTCAGCAACACTAGAAAAGGGTTTAGTGACTGTGATGGTGGTGACTGTGATGAGGGGGTTTTAGATTTTAGAGGGGCTTTAGATATTAGGGGGGAATTTATATATTGTGGGTACAATTTAGATATTATGGGCACTTTAGTTATTCGTGGAGGCTCCATAGAGTGTAAACACTGGCACTAGTTGGGTTAAATGGTTTCACTAAACAACAAAAAGATGTATACTTCTAGAATCATCTCTGACCTCAAAACAACAATAATAACTTGTGTTTACACAGCGCCCATCACGCAGGACAGCATCTCGGAGAGCGGCACAGCTGCCTGGACACCGAAAGAGGGTGAGATACTGTAGGTGTGGGACACTGAGGGAGGGTGAGGTGACTGCAAGTGTGGACACTGAGGGAGGGCGAGGTGACTGCAAGTGTGGACACTGAGGGAGGGCGAGGTGACTGCAAGTGTGGACACTGAGGGAGGGCGAGGTGACTGCAAGTGTGGACACTGAGGGAGGACGAGATGACTGTAGGTGTGGGACACTGAGGGAGGGCGAGGTGACTGTAGGTGTGGACACTGAGGGAGGGCGAGGTGACTGTAGGTGTGGATACTGAGGGAGGGCGAGGTGACTGTAGGTATGGGACACTAAGGGAGGACGAGGTGGCTGTAGGTGTGGACACTGAGGGAGGACGAGGTGGCTGTAGGTGTGGACACTGAGGGAGGATGAGGTGACTGTAGGTGTGGACACTGAGGGAGGGCGAGGTGACTGTAGGTGTGGACACTGAGGGAGGGCGAGGTGACTGTAGGTGTGGACACTGAGGGAGGACGAGGTGACTGTGGACACTGAGGGACGGTGAGGTGACTATAGTTTTGAAAGACTTGAGGTGAAGGATGTGTGAAGTTTGAGGTGCAAAAACTATTATTCTAACTTTCGCCATTTTTCTGCTGATATCTTAATAATAATTCTTCCATTTGATACAACACCTTATAATGTTGTGAATGCAATTTGTAATAAAGGGCATCAATTTAACCTAAATAGTAAATGAGCAAATGGGGAAGTTAGGATTAATTCACGCACAGAATAGTTAAGATATCGGATGCCCTGCCAGGAGCAGTGGTTGAGACAGAAACCATGTTGGATGAAGAGAGAAGTAGACAAATACCATAAAAATAGTCAGCTACAGGGGCTGGACAAAGAACAAGTAACTGGACTGAAAGGACTGCTCTTGAATGAGTTGGCGCAGACAACAACAACAAATGACATTTATTCTTATTGGCTATGTTTATTAACTTGGGGTTCTGTATCGGCTCGGTGAGGGAGAGACTCCATCCATGAAAACAGCCGCATGTCTTATATGGAGGATTGTTGGCCAGGATACCTGGAGAAAACCCCAATTTATTTAAAATCGTGACATGTCATCTTTAACGTCCAACCAAACAATCAGACAGGACCTCGGTTGAACATTTCATCTGAAGGACAGCTCCTCTGACAATGGAGTGCTTATGCTGCACTGGAGAGTCAGTCTGGACAGTGAGTTCAAACCCACCCACCCTGAGCTGGAGCAAGAGGAAGCGGGACTGAACCAGGATTTAATTATTTGGGGGGACCAGCCAGAGGGACGACAATGGTCTCACCCACACTGTAAGTTGCTATGTTCCTTTGACAGCTGTGGAGATCAGCAAACGTTACCTTTTCAGCTACCGCCCGTCGCGTCGGTAACACTTACCCTTCAGGTCATCCCACCACAGCTCCAGCGTGAACAGTCAGGAACGGTCTCCAGAAAATCTACATGTAAATAATACTGTTACTGTAGTGAACACATGACATAATAATACCACGCTCTACAGCAGGGACGGGCAATTATTTTGGCTGGGAGTCCACAAGTGTTGGACAGCTTCGCGGGCCACACACTTAATAGAGAAGTAAATGCTTAATAATAGCTCAAAATCAAGTCTTGCACTTGCATAAAATAAAGTCTATATAATTGACATTCATTAAAATTAGGTTAAATAAAAACAACTCATTGAGCAGACATTTATTCAATATTTATTCACTTATTCACACCGTGATCAGAATGTGAGAATGTGAGAAGCTCACTCAATGGGAAGAATGAAAGCGCTGATGTGTGTTAACCAGTCAGGCATCGTCTGCGTTGTTGCAATGTGGATTATTGCTGCAAGGTGGTCATCAGTCATCATAGATCTATTTTGATTTATTAAATTTCATCACCAGAAACGTCTCCTCGCGTATGTATGTTGATCGAAACAGCATAAGCATCCTCTGGGCATAAGTCTTTATCTTTGGAAAGGTATATTCATTAAGAGAGGCGTAAAAACTGGGAAGCGGCACTGATTTGAATTGCTCCGCAAGTAATGGATCACATTACAGGTCAATAAGCTCGAGTTGGAGGTCAAATGAGGCTTTGTCAACATCAAATGAGAAAGGTGAAGAGACCAAAGACAGGTCATTTTCAATCAAACTGAAATCCTGGAATCCGCGAGAAAACTTGACATGTAAGTCAAGTAGTGACGAACTATACTTTTTAAGGCTTTGATCGCAAACAGTAATCTGCTGTAAAGTTCGAAAGTGGGCAAACTGCCTGTTTCCTATCTGACACGACAAAAAAATAATTTTGTCATAAATGACTTGACACTGCAATTCAAATTGTGCACAAAGGTCCCCTTCCGTTGCAGTTTTGAATTCAGTTCATTCATGTGGCCCATGATATCAACGGCAAATGCAAAATTCGCATTGCGCAGCTGTGAGAAATCTGAATCTTTTTGTTTCATGTCCAAAAATAAATCAATCTCTGTTCTAAGTTCCCACACTCTTTTCAAGATCTTTCCTAAACTAAGCCATCTTACATTTGTGTAATACAGAACATCCGTGTGCTCGGATTTCAATTCCCCAAGCAGAGCTACAACTTGACTGTGGTTTCATCCTCTTGCTTGAATGTAGTTGACCACTTTCGTAACTGTGTCCACGACATTGCTTAGTTTTAGAACACTCTTACAGAGGATCTCTTGGTGGATAATGCAGTGTAGAAAAACAATAATCTGTTCTGGATTTGTTTCTTTGACTTGATCTTGAATTCTTTTCAGTAACCCAATATTTCTGCCTGTCAGATTTGGGCTTCCATCGTTGGTCACATTCACCAATTTTGTCAACATACCTAATTGCTTACTTTATTTTTTAACTGCAGATACAGGTTCGCAGAGATATCCTCGACATGTGTCACAATAGTTCGCCTTGACAAGCTAATGTTCTCGAACTGGTTTTTCTTGTCTGGGCATAAAATCGAAGCAGAGTCAACAATACATTCCTTTATAAACTCTCCTTCAGAGAATGGTTTGCTGTTCTTGGCGATTTTGTGTGTAATCATGTCACTCACTCACGGCCTTGCTCCCTCCTACCTCTCCAACCTACTATCCCCCTACCTACCTGCCCGTACCCTCCGTTCCTCTGGCTCCGGTCTGCTCCACGTCCCCCGCCCCAACCGCCCTACTATCGGTGGTCGGGCCTTCAGCCTCTCAGCCCCGAGGCTCTGGAACTCCATCCCCCAGTGCCTTCGCCTTGCTTCCTCCCTTTCCTCCTTCAAGGCCGGTCTCAAAACCTTTCTCTTTGACCGTGCCTTCAGCTCCCCTCTCGACTCTCTTCCTCCTCCTCGCTCCCTCCCTTCCCTCCCCTCACCCTGACCATTTCCCCCTCCTCTCTCCCTCCCTTCCCTCCCCTCACCCTGACCATTTCCCCCCTGCTCGGGTCATGACCCAACTGTGCAGCGCCTTGGGACGTCCTCCTGACGTGAAAGGCGCTCTATAAATGGAATCTTGTTGTTGTTGTTGTTGTTGTTGTAATCTCATCCTGGGAGACAAATTGTTTTGTGAAAATGCTTTGCTCTTTTTGCATTCGAACAACCATCTCATCAGTTTTCTTTCCTTTTTCTTTGGCAGAAACATTCTTATATTTGCAGCTATGTTCGCTCTCAAAATGGCAATTCAAGTTGTAGTCTTTGAGCACTGCCACACTTGCTTTACAAATTAAGCACAGCTTTTCCACCCACACCGGTAAAAAATATTTAGAAGTCCATTCTTTGTTGAATATTCGGCCTTCAGCGTCCACTTTCCGTTTCTTTGATAAACTCATTTCGAATTAACGTCCTCTTCAGTGAAAAGTATTCCCACAGTTGCCGCGCATTTGAAAATTTGCTGATCCTTACATTCCTGACATGAGCCTGATTTAACACTGAAGGGAGCGTGCGCAGAACTAAGCAGTGTGATTGGCTGATGTTCCCGGTCTGATTCAAATGCGAAATATGTGTGACTTTCTGGGTCTGAACAAACTATAATTGTTTCTATTGCTGAACACAATGGCAGGCTGGATAGAAGCATTTGGTGGGTCGGATGTGGCCTGTGGGCTGTATTTTACCCACCCCTGCTCTACAATACATTAGTAAATACACACAGCCATTAAATGCAATGTGTTTCACAAACACAGGCACACAGATTAAATGAAACCCATGCAATGTACACACATGACAAATAACACACAAGTATTAAATGAAATGTATGTCACACACACTAAATAAAATATGTCACCTGCTTTCTGGAGCCATGTCTTGATCGCATGATAGATGATGGCTCCGGACACGAGCCCAAGCCCAAGATGTAGATTGTTACAAACCGTTACCAAGATTGAAAGAATCATTTTGAGACTAAGAGAAAATCAGACTTTAAAACTCATGCCTTGGGACTGAAACCTTGTATATTAACATTTGTTCCTGAGCGGACGAACAGATACATAATAATAATAATAATAATAATAATAATCCTTGCATTTGATATAGCGCTTTTCACGTCGGGAGGACGTCCCAAAGCGCTTCACAGAACACACTGTAAAGTGAATTGACTGTATATTTGTGGGCGAACGCGGCAGCCAATTGCGCACAGCAATGTCCCACAAACAGTCGTGGATTGAAAATGACCAATTTATTATTGTTTTTGGTTTTGGAGGGATTATTATTAGGCTCTGTGTGGAGTAAGGAAACTTGCCCAAGGTTTCGCCCTCTGCCTGGAATTGAACTCAGGTCTCTCACTTGCAAAGCGAGTGCTCTAACCACTGAGCTACAGGACTCCACAAAGGGTAGAGGGAGGAGGGGGGAGAGAGAGAGAGAGAGAGAGAGGGAGGGAGGGAGTGTGTTCAGTGATGAGTTTCGGGAGGTAGAGACATAGAGCCCAATGTCCCCAGATTGAAGGAGATGGAGGAGGTGAACTTGGGGAGGTAAGGGCGAGGTGGGACAGGTTTCAACAGTCGGCCTTGAAGAGTGAACGAACACACATCTCGGAGTTCCTGAAACTTTCTTCCCGCATAGAAAGGTCTTTCCAAGTCAGAATGAATTCACACAAAATGTTTAAAAACCACTGAAATTCTCTCTTTTATATCACAACCTTGCTTCTGATGAAGAAAGCCTTTTGGCCCATCTGATTTCCTCCCTCCAGAACACCCAACCTAGCATCCCCATCACAGCATCAAGTTGTTTTTTGAATGTGTCCAATGACCTAGTCTCAACCTGGCAACCTGTTCCATTTATTAATTCCCCCCCTGGATAAAGATAGCACACAGAATAAGAGCTCACAATTTCATCAACTTTAACATAACACCTTTCACGTCAGGAGGCCATCTCAAGGCACTTAAAAATGCTGATGTGACACTACTTATAGGTAAAATCAGCAGGCATTTTGTGCATAGCAAAGTCCCACAAACAGCCATGATGTGAATAATAGATTAATGTGGAGGATTGTTGGTCAGGTCACGAGGAGAAACTCCCTTCTCTTTTCTAGTTGTGGCACAGAATCTTTAAAGTCTACCTGACCTGGACTACTGTCACGGTACAAAGTGAAGGTTTAAGTTGAAGCCTAGCTCAGGTGCTGTCAGGCTCACCTCTGAGTCAGAAGGTTGTGCTGTGCAGGAAAAGTGCTGCATTGTCACAGATGCCATCTTTCAGTGAGATGTTAAACTGAGGTTCTGTCTGACTGTTCAGGTGGACGTTAAAGATCATATAGCACTATTTGAAAAAGTAGAGGAGTTTTCTCTCCCTGTGTCCTGGCAAACAATCCTCCAAATGAAACCAATCATTCACTTAATAGCTGTTTGTGGGACATTGTTGTTTGCAAATTATCTACCACATTCACCTACAAAATCCACAGTCACCCTACTTTACAGGAATGTTAGAATTATTGAGATATCTGATGGTGAAAGCTGATTCTATAGAACAATAAAGGGACTTGATAAATCCAGAGCAGTAATATTGTTCAGGTTGGAGGTGTCTATAGGCAAGCCAGCACCAGCACATACACAATAGGATGAATGGGCTATCTCTGTACCTTTACATTCTGTGTTGTTACTGCTGAGGTTCTTTGAAAACAGTCCTTTTACTGGAGTCATACTGATTGTTAATCCAACCACTGCAATGTAAAAAGCAAATCCATTTACCTACCGGATTGGATGACAGATTGGTTGGCTGGTTGGAGTATTGTCTGTGTTGCTGTCTGTATCACTGCCTGGCTCTGTCACTGCTTAGTTAAAGCTGTTTGGTATCTGAGTAACCTACAATGACCAGCATCTGCTCAATAGATGTTTAAACGCGCTTCTTGCACTTTCAAGTTTTCTACAACCAATGAGGATATACAGGAACATATGAAGCCATAAATTCCCCTAGAGTTTACCTGAGCTGAACGTCTCAAATAAGTTTCATGATATCTGTAAACAACAATCTATGCTGATAACGAG